TATGGTGCCCATTATTAAGCTGGCTAAGATTTTGAAGACCTCTATTTCTGCTAAACCACAGGCTAAACAGTTACTATCTGATTCTTTGTCAATTCTTGGACAAGCACAGTATAACATAAGTATCAGACGTAGATATTTGATTCGTCCATCATTGAACAAGAGGTATAAAAATTTGTGTAACATGTCTGTCCCTATTTCAACCTCTCTTTTGGTGACGATATTTCTAAAGAGATTAAGCATTGTGAAGTAGGGGTTAATCTGGGAAAGGATTATAACGCACAGTATAATAGGAATTCTTTCAGAGGTCGTTTTTCTAGAGCAAGGCATTTTAACAGAGGAAGAATGACACCTTATCCACAGGTGCGGGTGTGTTATTCCCAGAGAGCTCCCATGAGGAAGGAACATTTAAGTCTGCCACTGTGACGGCACCCCCAAACGGGGAGAAATAAGTTCGGTAGGTAAGTTAAGATACTTTATTCATGCATGGGAAAAGTTTTCTAATGACCCTTGGGTTTTGAGTACTGTTCAGGGTTATTCATTAGAATTTGATGTTTATCCTGTGCAATATTCTTTACCAAAGGAAATCAATTTTAATACAGAAGAAATGAGTATTATAGATTCTGAAGTTGAAGATTTGCTTAAAAAAGGGGCTATTGCACCTTCTGTGGAGGAAAGTGATCAATTTATTTCTAATATTTTTGTAGTGAAAAAGCCAAATGGTAAATATAGACCAATCATTAATCTCAAAGAGTTAAATAATTTTGTTCATTATGAACATTTCAAACAGGAGCATTTCAAAGTAATTTTTGGACTTAGTTCAAGAAAATGATTATTTTTGTTCAGTTGATTTACAAGATGCTTACTTTTCCATTCCCATTCATTCAGAGTTCCAAAAATTTCTGAAATTTTATTGGAGAGATTCATTATATGCCTTTGTTTGTTTACCATTTGGTTATAGTGCTGCACCTAGAGTCTTTACCAAATTATTAAAACCTATTTATGCCTGGTTTCGTTCTCAAGCCATCAGATGTGCCTATTATATAGATGATTCTTTAAATATGAACTGTGATAGAGATTTGTGTCTAGAAAATGCAAAGATTATTTGTGACACATTACAGTCTTTAGGCTATGTTATTAATGAGAAAAAATCAAGTTTGGTACCCAGTCATAAAATTGTCTTTTTTGGGTATCTTTTGGATTCAGTTCTTTTTATGGTTGTTTTTGACAGAGGAAAAGATTGAGAAAATACTCTCAAAGGCTAATAATCTCATTCACAGTGAGTTAGTGATTGTTAGAGAGCTTGCTTCATTTATAGGGTCTGTTATAAATGCCTTCCATGCAGTTTTAGAAGCTCCTCTTCATTATAGACAAATGGAAAGATGTAAAATTAATGGATTAGGTAAAAATATGAATTTTGACAATAAAGTGTTTTTGTCCGAAGGTGCAAAATCTGAAATTCGTTGGTGGCTTGAAAATATACGTCTCAAGAATGGTAAGCGAATACGACCTCAAATATTTCCTTTACGTGTCAAACAGATGCTAGTAAACTTGGCTGGGCTTGTGTTGATGTTTCATCAGGTCAGTTGCTAATGGTCGTTGGTTAATTTGTGAACAAAGTTTTGCCATAAATTATTTAGAACTTTTAGCTGTTTTTAATGGAATTAAAGCCTTGTATGATAGTTTTAAAAGTTGTCATCTTCAGGTTTTTTCAGACAATGTGACAGCTGTAGCATACATAAATGACATGGGTGGAATGTCTTCCCCAAGTCTTGATAGTTTAGCTATTGATATCTGGAATTGGTGCTTAGAGAGATCTATATTTTTATCAGCTAATTATCTTAAAGGTTCAGAGAATGTACAAGCTGATTATTTTTTCTCGACATTTTCGTTCAGAGTCTGCTGAATGGATGTTAAAAAAGGAGATTTTTGATAGAATCTGTTCACAGATGTTCTTTCCAGACATCGATTTATTTGCGTCTAGGTTAAACTGTCAATTGTCAAGGTTTGTGTCATGGTTTCCCCAGCCTGGGGCATTTAGAAATGATGCTTTTTCGTTTCCTTGGTCAAACCTTAAGCCCTATTTGTTTCCACCATTCTCGTTGGTTGGGAGAGTTATCAATAAATTAAAAGATGATAAGGTTAAAAAAGCTATATTGATTATCCCTTTGTGGAGAACACAATTTTGGTTTCCACTTATTATGGATCTTCTAATTTCTGATCCTGTTAGGTTGCCGCGTCACAAGGATCTGATGATTATGCCTCAAGATTCCAGTACAGTGTGTCCAATGGTCCATTCTACAACTTTTGTCGCTCTTCAACTATCAGCAGATATCTCCAGGGTAGAGGATTACTTCCAGAAATTGTTGCCGTCATCCTTGGTTCCTGGAAACAAGGAACTCGTAAACAGTATTCCATGGCATGGAAAAGATGGCTGTTTTTGGTGTTCACAGAAATGTAAGAATCCCCTTAAAGCAACTGAAATGGAGGTAATATCGTTTTTATATTTTTTGCATCTAGACAAGAAGTCATATTCGGTGCTGAATTCTCACAAGGCTATGTTATTGCAGACTTTGTCATTGTTAGGAAATGATTGGTGTGATTCACCTAATTTGATTAAACGTTTTATGAGGGATTTTTATTTTAAAACCGGCGTTACCGAGATACAAGTTCACATGGGATGTGACAATAGTTTTGAAATTGCTTAGTACTTGTATCCTTTAGAAACTTTAAATTTAAAGTTTTTAACATTAAAAGTTACGGCACTTATAGCGTTGGCATGTGCTCCTAGAGCTCAGACAATTATGTCACTTGATTTGAATTATATGAAGGTACATAATTCTTATTGTGTGTTTTATTTCCCGAATCTATTGAAGACTTCAGTCGTGGGAAAAGAAAATAATTTTTGTGTTAAATTTGAGCATTTTAGGAAAGAAAGTTTGTGTGTATATCATACATTATTATATTATATCAAAGTAACGGAACAGTTGAGACTATCTGATCAATTATTAATTTCATATGTAACATTTAATGCAGTTACATCAAGCACTATTGCTAGATGGCTAAAGACAGTGTTACAATTGTCAGGCATTGATGTTGCCATTTTTAAGGCCCATTCTTTTCGTGGGGGCCTCGGTATCGGCAGCAGCAAGAAGTCAGAGATGTTCAATTAAAAATATCTTGAATACAGCTGGTTGGAAATCGGACAATAACTTTTACAAGTTTTATTATAGACCTATTATTGAAAATGAGGATCTGTCTTTTTCTACAGCTGTTTTTTCCTCAAAGTGACAATCTGGATTTATTATTTTTGATGAAATATGAATTTTATATTTTGTTTGATATAAAATATTATGGATTTGTCAGATATTACATTTGTGTTTCTTGATTGGCGTTATGTGTCTTTTCATTTTTCTAATGACATGGAAATATTTGTTGCCGATCTTTAAAGATGCTATTTATACATGTGAAAGCTGAGGCTTTATGAAAATACTGTCCCCCCTCATCCAAGCTTTAGTGATGGATGAGGGGCAGTATTGGAATATAAAGCCGGAGGCTGAGCATGTATAAACCCCCCCATTTTTGGGTGCTACAAGTTTTTTCTTTTTCCCTCCCAGTTTATTTTTTATGTACGTCAACAAATTTTTTGGGCTTTGAATTATGATTTCTGGGGTTGACATGGTCGCGCGCATGGTTTGGTCATGTTTTTTACGGTTCGTTGAAGCGGCGTTGTGGACTCGATGCGTTAGGATAACATGCTATTTATACATGCTCAGCCTCCGGCTTTATTCCAATACTGCCCCTCATCCATCACTAAAGCTTGGATGAGGGGGGACATTTTATTATATAATTATATACAGTATGCTAGATATCTTGGTATGCTTATATTTGGTAAGCAATTATTTAACATTAGACTGTTATCTTTACACGCCCATTCATTGATATTTTCATAAGCCTATTAATCATTTTGATACTAAGGTTCAAACTGTCCTAAACTCTACTATGTAGGCGTTTAGATTGTTTAATGTGCAAGAAAAAATCCTTGTTATATTCGGCTATGTAAGTAAATACACTAATGTTTGAAATAAGAGCCTTGGGAGTATAGAGTTCAAGGTTTTATTGGTTAGCATGTATCTACTGTATGTACAGACATTTCAAGTGTCATATATACCATATCTATAGGCAGGCATGCATGCATAAGATATTGAATAATGCAGTCATGTATAAAAAATGTCATATTTGAAGAGAACATTTGTGTATTGCTATGACCCAGATATATTCATTAAGCAGAACTAAACACAGATCTTATTATATGATCTTATGTTTTGCTTATTAATTAATTTTGTTGCAGTCAGTTCTCCCGATTTGATTATTGTATGACCTTGAAAATTAGAATCTTATTGTATACTTTAAAACAATGTAATATACAGTCGCAAAAATAAACTTGCCAGTTCTTTTAGATGTAAAAACATATTTTATGTAAGGGTTTTGAGTGCTTAGTTCTGGAAACTGTTAAGCCTGAGCTAGGTCCTTGAAAATTTGATCATGTACATTTTTGATTTCATTGGTCCCCATCGGTTTGGAATGAGAGAGGTTGAGGTGCAAGGGAGCAGAAGGTCATGTCCCATAAGTAGCAGTTTGTTGAAAGTGTCTTATTGTGACAAAAAATATATTCAGTTGGAATTATAATACATGACTTTTGTGTATTCATTTTTCTGGTCAAATTGACCAGATTTTAGAAACAGGTCTAGGCTGTATCTTGTTATGGGTAGTAAGATCCTGTAATCTTATTCAAATCCAAGGCCGTAACATTATGATACATTAAATGAGAATTGTTGTTGAAATTGTTAATGTGATCCTAATTTTCTTCAACCCAGGAAGTTACAGCTGTTTATAAGATGTGTAGAGGAACATCAAAAGAATATATTATTGCTATGTACATGATTAATATGTTCATATTTAAAGCTCAGTCATGCTAACAACAATATTATTTTATGTTTCAGGTGTTTTTCCCAGACGTAGAAAGAGCAGAATGGTTGAACAAGGTTGGTATTTAAATTAAGACTGGTCAGTCTTGAATGACTACCAGTTACCAGTTTATTTAATAAGAAATAATGCTGACCTGCTTTAATAACTGTGAAGAATAATGTTAATCATATGTTAAAACACAGTGATTTGATTAGCTAGAGCCAGACACACAATTTTCACCCTAGGGCAAAATAAGGCTTCAATTGAAAATAGTTTGTCTTTTTTTCTCCCAATTAAAAAAAAAATTCCCAGCAGCAGCCAAAAAAATTAAACTGTATCACAGTGATCAGAAAAAACTGGACTGTGTTTACTTGATTCTTTAAAAAAAAGACAGGCTATATGATTATACATATAAACTTTAAAAACTTTATAGTAATTTATAAGGTAGTTTGTTTACATTGTACATTTTGAATTTTTCAAATTTTCCAAAATCCAACATGCCAAATAATTTCCCCAATTTATGATGGAAGTAGCTTGAGCAAATAGCTTGAAAAGGCCTTACATAGCCATTGTAAACACCTCCAAACCTAGCGATCATAGGTTTGAAGTTTGAGTCCTTATAGTACAAGGGTTACAAACCATGTTTCATCATAATTATGATGCTAATCCAGGTTAATTTAGGAAAAGTGCCAGAACTTGTTTTATAATGCAGCTTAGATAGATGTGTTTCAAACTGATTAAATTCTGAAATTTGCATGCAGTTTGTACATATATATGTATATGACAGCTGGCGCAACTGTATTCTCCTGTAGGCCAGTCTCCTGTACATATACATTATAATTAATGTATGAATTTATTTAAAATTTAGTTGCAGAATAGTTGTGGATTTAAAATAAATTAGATTTTGTTGGCTTTAATAATGAGCCTGGGAAAATAAAACCCTATTGATACTTGTACTAATTTTCAAGTAGATTTCTTGGTTCTGCACAATGCTTTTAATGGTAAAAATTTGGCCATTGAATTTATTAACCATTATTGTTGGTCAAATGCAGACAAGACTGGACTGTCTAGACCATTGGCTATAATATTATGCCATAATGGTAAAGGTCTATTAAAGGGTATAAAGCTATATTTGATATAATACTAAAATTGTATTATTTCCATAATCCTATGGTTGATTCTTGAAAGAGTTGTAACATATAATGTTTCTGTTATTATACTAACATGAATATTATAATATTATGTGAACAGAATAAAAAGTTGCAAAATTATTTTTTTTGCTGCAGTTTTAAGTAGAGTTTTTACCCTTTAGCAATAATTTCATGCATGTTTCATTTGCTCATTCGGAAAATTACCCACATATTCCTTTCATACAGACATTTTGGAGTTATTCTTTTTCAAAACTAAAAAACTAGTTTTGAAAACTGCATGTAGCAGAGATAGACAGTAGCTTAAAACATTTTAAAATGGGAGATGTACAATACACATATTTCAAATATTATATATTAGATATTACAAGTTATAGCCATTCTTTGAAGTTAATAACTGAAATAAATAATTAATATTTATTCCTCTGTGGCTGCAATATCAATAGCTAAAATTTCCATATTTGTTTGACATGAAAACCACTGATGTATTAAACATGAAATAACAGTACATTTTTCTCATGCGATATATTTTATTACATATATTTTTATATTCTATATATATATTTTATATATTGTATCATGGGTTCACTTGAAACTTTAATGTCTACTGGCATCACAAGAGATTTTTTTATTTCATACCTTTGAAGAATTTGCCCTTTACCTTTCTGAAAAAGTTTTATTTTTTTTATATAATTATGAGTAACTTTTTCATATTTTAAAGGACAATTGGTCACCTTGGTGTAGTAATGGGTTAACTTCTTGGCTAGCCTTCCTGACCTTTGCGCACTCCAAGTGACTCAATCCCAATTTGAAAGCACCTGATACGCTTATAGTTACATGTACTATCTTATGGCTGTGGAATTTAAAACAATGCAATGTCTATAATTATCCAACTTAATGAAATAAAATTGCTTAGTCAGGTCTTCCTAGTTTAAACAGATTTTTATAATGATACTCTTTTATCTTTCTTTACTAATTTCTTTTGCCATGAAAAATGCAATGCCTTAAAGTGTACATACTTGTAATAAATGTATAATTAAAAAATCAATAGCGAGATTTCAAATTGTTTTATAAGAAAAGGTAGCTATTAAATTTGAATGACCATGTAAATGAAATTAATAACAAAGGGAAAGCATGAAAAAGATGAATTTTTTAGCAAAACAATAATTCAACCAGAACCTATCAGTATCTCAATATTTGCGGTACCATGTATTGTAAGTTCCTGCCAAAATAAATCATCGGCCCATTCCTACTTTATACAGAGAGTGAATGGAAATTCTCCAGAATTGATATATGATTCAATGTATTTTCATTGATGATTCAATGTTTTTAGCTTAATTAGAATATGTCTGGATAAATAACCATGTTCATTAGGAAGTCAGAGGGTGTTACAGTAGTATGGAATGTGTTTCCTGAGTAGTATCAGATGTAATGGCATCCTCCCACATCCTTAACATGTATTTGATATAAGAACAAAGAAAATTAGTGTTCTTTGATGAATAGGATTCGTTGATAAAGCAATTTATTGTAATAAAATACCCCCTGATTTCGAATTTCCAATATAATTTGTCACCTAACAATGTATTTGGGGGAAAGACTCCTCATCAACCATCACCCCCACTCCCAACCCCCTGAACAATCTCTCCTTAGGCTAACTAATGTAGTAATTAAGAATAAAAGAAGTTTATTAATGAACATTATATTAAACCAGAAAACTTGTTATTTCAGATGGTAGCACAGATGTGGCCTTATATTGGAGAGTATACTCGTACCCTTCTCATGACATCAGTACAAAAGACTGTACAAGACAGTGCCAGTGTGATGGGATCTTTCAAATTTGTCAATATTGATCTCGGAGATATTGTAAGTACATAATTCATATTTTTATTATGAAATGTGTTTACTGTTAAAACAATTTTTAGCAGAACCTTCTCATAAGCAGACTCTGTCTAAAAATCTTACGATAAAAATTCATATTTAAAACAGAAATAAAAAAGCAAATTAACTGAAACATAAACTTATATTCCTTTGCATCTCATAATTTGTTTTCACCATTGATTTTGGTTCATTGGCTTATATAAGGTTTTAAAGTATGTTACATTATGTTGATGTCTATTTTAGCCTCCAAGAATTGGTGGTGTTAAGGTATACACAGAAAAGGTGAAGAGAGATGAGATTTACATGGATCTTGATATTATGTAAGTACAAATCTGTTTATATTAGTACAAATATAAACCAAGTAACATGCGATATAATGTAATCTTGATAAAGGATTCAGCTAACTATAAGATTTGCCAGATGCGTTCTATTTAAAACTGTTGTTACCTTAAATTGACCATGATTTAAAACTATTGATATTTCCTTACATAGACCATGGCAGTTTATTGTCACAATCATATGAATGACCATTTCATGTGTCTAATGGTGTCCTTTATTTTCAAAGACTGTTTTCACAAGTTATGATTTAATTCTATATTCAATGTGTGTTTATTTTTACAGATACAGTAGTGATTGTGAGATCACAGTGTGTGTGAAGGGGGTGAATGCTGGTATAAAAGATTTACAGGTAAATTATTATGTGAAATAGATAATAAAATACCTAAATAAGTCCCAGACAAAAATCTGATAATTTCAGCCTTTCACAGATCAAAGAATTCTCTCGCTTAATTATTTGTTCGTATAGGAATAGTTTTAATTTGAAATATATCATATACCGTATCACACTGCATGTTTGTAAAGTTGATTTTAATTAGACATTCATGAAGTTTATATCATATATACACACAGCTGCTGCAATTAATTTATGATTTTTTTATGTTGATCAAAGAAAACAATCACATATATGCCATTCATTACAGATATAAACACACACAATTCAAATATATACATTATGTAAAAACAAAACAATTAGATTGTTTGGTATTATAAAATATTTGAGTTATAAATTAGATATATCGTATAAACCATACTGACGTAGACGAAAAATGTTCTGTACAGTTCTATATCCATTATCCATAAATAGTTCTAAAATAGTTTAAAGATATACTATGCTCATCAAACTTATGGCAAATAGGTACAAATACTTTATTAACATAGAAATTTTATGTGTTATTTTATATTTCAGCTTCACGGAACTGTGCGTGTGATATTTAAGCCACTAATCAACCAAGTTCCTTTCTTTGGTGGCCTCAGTGTCTTCTTTATGAATAATCCTGTAAGTTTTATGGTTTTAGTCTATATTTGATGGCATTTATTGATTTGCTTCTGCCCACCTTAGGCTGTTGTAATATAATGTAATTTTATAATTAGATACCTTAAATTTAGAATATAGGGGCGTCTGTGGCCGACTGGTTAAGGTTGTAAATGAAACTTCAAACCTTTGCCCCTCACCGCTGTGAGTTCAAATTCCAACAGGGACTTTGGGAAGCTATTCATCTTAAAGAACATTGGTAGTTTTACTAAGGTGGCCAATTGTGCCTGAAATAATGCACAGAAGAGCTCCTGCAGTAAAGCTGGAAAGTAGCCATATGAACTATTCTGTGTTGGTGCGATATAAAACCCAACCAAAAAAAACAAACAAAAAAAGTTTTTTTAATATTTAATTCAGTCAAGCTCAAAACATAATAATTTGAGCAATGTTAAAGTTAATTTACCTTTTTACTTTATGACAGTGAATAATTTCTTTTAACTAATATGTTTAAATGCTATGAATCTAAGTAAAACTAAAAGTATTAATGTTTTCTGTGACTGTCTACCAAAATACTCCAAAGAAAATTAAATCTTCTTGTGAAACTTTAAATTTACATACTCAATTATTTTTTCACAATTTACTTACTATAACATATAAAAATGTCATGTGTTCATCCAATTTAATACTGTTTTAAAACACTTTTGGTTAATTAATTTCAGTCCATTGACTTCAATTTGACTAGCTTAGCAAATGCTTTAGATCTTCCTGGGTTGAAGTAAGTATTCCTCTGCCAAGTAAGGAATAAACTTTTATCATTTATCATTTTATTAGTTTTACATTGTATATCTTTTTTGGACTAATTGGCATGGTTAAATTTTGCAAATTCCTACTATCAGTTCAGTTAGATTTATATGACACTTAGATACTTAGTGAACATCTAATTTTGCAAAATATAATCCCATCTGAAAATTTCAGATTAAACAGTGTATATGAGTGAAGATTTTTGCTTTATAAATATATATAAAAAAGGACTTCTTAGTCCACATGTTACAGAAATATTATATGTATTATTTATAATTTCAGTGATATGTTACAGACATATATACAGGAGATTATAGGTAACATTATGGTGTTACCTAACAGAATAGTGGTACAGACTGCACAGGGTCTTACTGTCAGCAAACTGAGATATCCTCAACCAGATGTAAGATTTTCTGTTCCATTCATTATGACAGGGCCAGCGAAATCTGATTTTGACTTATTTGTCTGTGTTATCTGAATTATATTTTAACTTGTCAGTATTATAATTATTATGTAAATTCTTGAAAAATTTTCCCTTGTCCTTATAAGCTGTGGGACTACCTGGGCAATACAGACAATTGATTTTGCTGTCCCTGATAATGGCTTGAAGCTTTATGGTTGAAATTATCTTTTACTCTCCACTGGCATTGTATTTCCTATGATATATAATATGCAAATTTGACTAAATAAATAAAAATTCTAGCTGCTATGTGACTCATTATTTGTCAAAGAGTTTGTGTATCAAACATTGTTTTTTTTAAATTGACATTAATTGCCAAAACGTTTGTGACTTTATCCTTATTTTCTTAGAATTTACATTAATTTTAAGTGTCTCAAACACATGTAACTTGGGGTAAATGTTTGATATTAGATGTGCTTCAAGACCAAGAGTTTCAAAGTTAATGCCATGCCTGGAAATCAAATTTTAAACTACAGTTTAGTCTGTAGTCTTAATAATGTTTAAATCTACCTTAATAATTGTGATTTTGGTCAACATTGGATCACTTGATAACAAACAAAGAGTTACTTGAAATAAGTTGACATGAATTTGGTTTGAGTTTGGTGGAATCTTTGGTGAAATGTATTCCTTTGTATTATGACAGGGTATTTTGAGGATTTATGTTGAAGAAGCTAAAGATCTTGTGAAAGCTGACCTAAGTGTTCTGGGCAAAGGAAAATCTGATCCTTACTCAGTTGTTAGAGGTAATGTGACTTTCATTTTATAATGTTTGCAATGAAATATGTAAAGAAAATAGACATTCATACCATCAGTTTTCTGAATCATGATCTAAAAAATAAGTTTGATAACTCTCACTTCTTTTGTAGATATTAAAATGTTAAGAAATTGACAAAACATAGTCAGACTGCTTCACTCAGTATGGTTTTGATGACTAAGGAGTAGGAAATATGAATTTGTTATTTATTTGAAATTTTTATACGAAAAAATATAGAATAATTCTTGGTTTAATACTACATATAGAGGTATTTGTATATGTTGCTGTTTGTTTTGTAAACTATAGTAAAAATGGAAAATTTGCACTTTGTCATATATTTAATTTGTGTTACAGTTGGTGCGATGAAGTTTAAGACACATGTGATTAATAATACAGTTGCTCCACAATGGAATCGTGTGTTTGAGGTAAACCATACATACATATCAGTGTTGTTAGATCCCATGTAATCATGTACCCAGCTAGCTTAGAGAAGGTCGATGGTTCTACTCAGGTGCTTGCTTGTGGGGCGTCCGTGGCCGAGTGGTTAAGGTCGTTGACTTCAAACCACTTGCCCCTAACCTCTGTGGGTTCGAATCCTGTCAGGGACTTTGGATTCTTTCATGTGAGGAAGCTAACCAGCTAGCTTACGGAACGTCGGTGGTACTACTCTGGTACCCGTTCGTGCCTGAAATAATGCACGGAAGGACACCTGAGGTCTTCCTCCACCAGTAAAGCTGGAACGTCGCGATATGACCTATACTGTGTCGATGTGACGTTAAACCAAAAAACAAAAAAAAACAAACGGTGCTTGCTTGTGCCTGAAATAATGCTTTGAGGGTCACATGAAAAAAAAAATCCACATGTGACCTTAACAGTGTTGTTGTGACTTAAAAACCCAAGAAATGAATAAATATTATTATCCCCCGCCGAAAAATTTCGGCAGAGGATATAGAAATAGTCTCTGTCCGTCGTCCTTCCATCCGACATTTTTGTTCGGAGCATATCTCTAAAAGTATTTGAGTTATCAACTTGAAACTTCATAGGTGGATAGACCTCATTGAGGAGGAGTGCAGTGCACAAGAATGATAACTCTACCTTGATTTTTGAGTTATTGCCCTTTGTTATTTTTCAAAATTGATTTTTGTCCAGAGCATAACTCCAAAAGCCTATGAGATATTAACATGAAACTTCATAGGTGCATAGATCTCACTCAGGAGGTGTGCAGTGCACAAGAATGATAACTCTACCTTTCATAATTTTTGAGTTATTGCCCTTTGTTATTTTTCATACCTAATTTTTCACCTGAGTGGAGCATAACTCAAAAAGTGTTTGAGATATCAACATGAAATGTCATAGGTGGGTAGATCTTATTGAGGAGGAATGTTGTGCGCAAGAATGATAACTCTGCCCTATACAATTTTTGAGTTATTGCCCTTTTATTTTTTTTATGCTATTTTGTCCAGAGCTTATCTCAAAAAGTATTTGAGGTATCAACTTGAAACTTCAAAGGTGGATGGATCTCATTGAGGAGGAGTGCAGTGCTTAAGAATGATAACTCTACCCTGCAATATTTAATTATTGCCCTTTGTTATTTTTCAAAATTAATTTTTGTCCAGAGCATAACTCAAAAAGCCTTTGAGATTTCATAGGTGCATAGATCTCACTCAGGAGATGTGCACTGCAGAAGAATGATAACTCTACCTTTTATAATTTGTGAGTTATTGCCCTTTGTTCTTTTTCATACTTAATTTTTCAATTCAATTTTTTTCTCAAAAAGTATTTGAGGTATCAACTTGAAACTTCATTGGTGGATAGATTTTACTGAGGAGGGATGCAGCACACAAGAATGATTACCTACCCTGCATTATTTTTCAGTAATTGCCCTTTGTTATTTTCAGCCATCAGTATTCACATAGGTTTCAAATCTGTAATCACTATAGCCATCAGTTTTCATTACCAAAAGACCTCTTAAAATGGAATTATTCCGCTCTTCTACATATACATTCTTCCAATGAGCAAACACATTCGGCGGGGGATGGCCATGTTGACATGGCTCTTGTTTCTTCTTAGTCAGACGGTAAACTTTGGTTGACTTAAATAATTTGGTGCCATGAAATGTTAATGTCCTTTCTGAAAATATATATGACAAACAGATCACAAACCAACTCAATTTATCGAAACATGTTTCCCTATAATAAGCTTCATCAGGTGATCAGTTGTCAATAATGAAAGACTTAGGTCACCAGTATGCAGCAAGACCAATCTGAAAGTCCACAGTCTACTTTGATAAGTTTTCAAAGTCTTTCCATCCGAGGAGGCATGAGAGATGTTGCACTTTCCATTATTTCTCATGAACAGACTTGAGGAAACGAAGTCTGCAAATTTTCACATATAAACTTTGTTTCATTCTTCTCAAGGGATCTCCTACTTTCTAGGTTTTATCTGCACAGTCAACAATGCATGTTGAAACTTCAAAGCAGGACATTTATGTTGCACAAATATCTTTAAGCACGGCTTGGATTAATAGCTTTTATCAATGGTTTATATATGAATTTTATTACAGACCATTATTGATGAGAAAGACGGTCAGTTTATGGATGTAGAAGTGAGAGATGAGGATCCAGGCAGTAAAGATGATAAACTAGGAAAGTAAGTATTCTTAGGATACTAGAAGCTTTAATGATAGAGAATTTGAAAACAGTTTGTTTTGGCTACCACCCTTCCAAACTCTTTGTCTAAGATTATGTATATATATGTAAGAAGTGTAGGGCTGCATTTTGTTTGTGTTCCCATGTTCAGTAATTTTTCTTAAAGTAATGATTCTTTGTCTGTAAACAGATGTATGTGTAGACTTTTCCTCACACGTTTTTACCACATAAAATTTGTTTAAGGAGCTTCAAAAACAAAAAGTGATAGTAAAATTATGAATATGGTAGTAAGTTCTAATTTGAGGAAATTTTTCTGAAATGAATAGGAACATAATACATGTATTATGTTTTACAATAAAGGTAAGTGGAATTACTTTGATATGAGTGTTTTAAAACTTAACAATGATGTTTTCATTTTGTGTTTTTCAGTGTTTCTATTGAGCTGTCTCCAGTAGCAGCAAAAGGACTTGTTGATAATGTAAGAGGTTTTTTTCAGTTGTCCTCTGTTACATTGTTTTTATAATAATACTTGAGAAGCATTTTAATTGCTTAAAGGGTCAGGTCTAAAGCAAAATGAGTTTTCAAAAAGTAAAGAGGATTTATTTGATGTGAGAAAGCTTAGTCTTCATTTGCTAGTGCATTAGATGATAAAGATTCGTCCTTAACCAATGAAGCTGAAAAATGTGACTTTTAAAGGAACTCCACTGAGATAAAAAAAAAAGCCTGGAAACATAAAATTTGAAAATCTTACATAGATCAAGTTAAGCACTTTTATGAAAAAGTCTGATAAGGAAAATAAAGAAATTTACTCAGAATTAAATTGAATATCAATTTTTGTGTGATTCTTAGCCTAATTTGAGTGAAAATCATTTTTATGTCATTTTGCAGAACAAACATGATTATTCTGGGAAAACAGGGTGAGAATGATCTGAAAATTTACGCACAAGTTAATGGTCTTGACCTACATTAAATGGTTTACAAATCTCAGAAAAATATTTCGAGTCCCATCATGTCAAAAAAACAGAGTGTAGTCCCTTTAAAGATCCTGCATGTTGTAATTGAGGTTGCGTACCACACTTAAGTGAAATTATCTATATGTATATAATTATGCTTATAAAACAATTTTTAAACATGGAAGAATATGTAAAATATGTACTGCAAATATTTTTACATATTATATGTAATCATTAATATATATATACTTTCATTTCATTTTCTTATTGAAAAATTTGACTTAGAATTTGTAGAAAATATTTTTTTTTATCACCTCCCTTTATCTACATGAAATGTTAAATTTGGTAATATCTTTATAAATAATGCTTTTTGGAACTTACAAAATTGATAAATCTTAACTTGAGCATCATATTTATGACATAAAACCATAAAATATTTGTGTTACAGGATCTTTAATATAAGCAATGTAGATGTGTATTTAATGAGACAGTAACAAGATTTATAACAATGATATTCTTTTATCTTACAGTGGTTACCATTAGAGAATGTGAAAACAGGAAAGCTCCATCTTAAACTTGTATGGCTGTACCTGTCCAAAAACCCTCAAATGTTAAATAAGGTATGGTTAGCTTTTCATCAACTTTCTGTAAATTTTGCGTAACTTTGATATTTGAATAGAAAGGGAAGGATTATGACAGAATACAGGCTTGTTTAGGTTGTCTACTGTAACTGAATTGCCCCACACTGTAGTGTGGGTTTGAATCTCATCATGAACTTTAATGCTTCTTTCATAAGAGGAAGATGTCCAGGTACTTAACAGAAGGTTGGTGGTTATACTAAGGTGCCTGCTTATGCTACATATATTGCAGGAAGGGGCATCTAAGATTTCCTATGGCCTTTGCAGTTTCAGTGTGGCTAAGAATCCGACAAAACAAAGTTAAACTTTTCTTCTATACATCTTTTACTATAAACAGTTATAAATTTGTATAATATGATTTAAACTGGTCATGAGTGTTACGTGACTGTTCATGAATTTACGGCCAGTGTGCCAAAAAGTTATAACCATAATTTGCCTGCTGAATATGGGCATGTGCAAAAAAATGTGCAAAAAACTTCATTAAAACAAACTAAAGTGAAAGACATTAATACAAGTCAGAGATAGGACGGGAAGTATTTATCAGCCCTTTAGAATAATGACCCTCCGGGGCTGTTATTTGTTAAATGAGGAGATTATAACTTTCTGACCCTACTCTGTCATGTAGTAACCTCTTAATATCTTATTTGTTTGTATATATGAAGTGCCAGTTTATTTAGAAAGACCCAAATATATGTTTTAAAATAATCAGTGATGTTAGATATGGATAATTTATGTATATTTGTGGGCTATATTTGATGTTGTAACTAATATAGATGTAGTTTTTTGTCCTTTATTGAATCAGTATTTTACTTGTATAATAAAAAAAAGATTTATATTTTGAAAGAGTATATATAACACAGGCGCTAGTCACATAATCAAATATTTTACATAACCGGTCTATATATGTATATAAAGATATATCTTATTATAGTATATAGCCCATATAAAACTTTAAAAAGTTTGTTTCAAGCACCTGTGATATATAATGAATTTCCTGAAAACAGGATATATGAAAAATATGTTTAAAGGAGTATATTTGTAAAATGTGCATATATGAACAAATTTGGCTTTCAGCATATTTAAAAAAGGTAATGCCTAAAAGAGCATACATTTATAGAATATGCTTGGAGGAGCATATAAAACAAAAATCTTATAGGAATAAACATGTATGGAAATATTTTAAAAGAAAATTATAAATAGAGGATATACTATATAAAAGAATCATATGTAAAGAATATGCTTAAAGGAGCATATATGAAATATGCTTGATTGCATAAATAAAGAATTTGATTAAATGGACATCTATAAAGAATTTGATTAAAGGAATATATATAAGAATATCATCAAGGTATATATATTAACAATATAAACAATATGTTTAATACAAATTTAAAGAATATAAAAAGGTGATATTTCGATTGACAAATTTTCTGATGTACTTCTTATTGTCTAATGAAAAACTGTTGTTCTATTAACTATTCTAGATTGTACGTAAGTCTGTGTAATGCAGTGAAGAGTTTAAACATTCTTTTAAACATTGCTCATGTTTTTTTTGTTTTTTTTTTATCAAAATAGTTATCATAACAATTTCTTATGCTTGCAGAGATATATTTTATTATATTTTTTTTAATATTTTAAATATGTAACTTTTGGAGATCTGGAGTGTTTGGCATATAAGTTGCTTTGATGTAAATTTCACACTGAAACTGAATGATAAAACAGATATGCAAGTCAAAAATATATATTTTTATATTCTCTTTAAAAAAATAAAATATTCATCCACATAGATTTGATAAGAAGAAAAACATGAGCAATGCACTTTGTTTACAAATTTGCTTCCGTTTTTAACACTGTGTGGTTAAAAGCCAATTAACCATAGAGTATTTTACCGCTCAGGGTTTAGCTTTACTATAGGTTCTGTACTTTTATACCCGAGACATGTACTCTGCTAGTTGGAACACTCAAGAGATATCCTAGTATTTCACAGGCAGTCAACCATACATCATATCTATATCTTAATCATCACCTGACATAATTGACATTATGCTAAGCATAGTTTCGCAGTACATTTATGTAATATACATTTATGCTATGATAGTTTTGCTGTTCATTTTTTTGTATTATATATTTTACTTGCACTGTTTTTAAGTATATTTTTGAATTTGACTTAATATGCTAAGCATAATTTACAAGTTTTCTTGTTATATACTTTTTGCTGGCAAAGTTTTCAGTTCATTTTTGGTGTAAATATTATGCTAAGATACTTTTCAGTTCATTTTTGTAATATTCAATATGTTAACTTAGTTTGTACATGGACATTGTTAGCTTTTACATTTTTCTTTCATAAGGTTTTTGTTAATGATTTTCAGAAAACATTTATAGCAGCTGATTTTCATGTAAACTTTATGCTAACATATTTCATGTTTACTGTTTTGTAATGACAATTTATCATGTTACTGCCAGCAATTCCCAAAGAATATTTTTGTAAAAGTCATTTTCTGATTCTATTTTATTGAATTTCCATGTTAAATTAATGTAATACAAGTTTAATTTAAAATGTTTCCATGACTTTTCTTCATTTCATCATTCTCTTTAGACTAGAAATACAATCATTTAGTGGTAATAATAATTACTAATTGATTAATTTTTGTGGTCAAGCAGTAGGAATAAGTTCATCAATATCTTGCACTTTTATCATATTAAAATCACAAAATTTGAACCTAGTATTAGTGTGTCCATGTAAGAGTTATCTACCGATTTCATTTTGTAAAATGAGTTAATGTAGTTAATCTGGTGAAGTTGAAATGAACAAGATGATAAAAAATCATAAATAAAGTGACTTATTTGATTTAACTGGATTTTGTTCATAGTTTATGTTTTACAATCAGAAAATACATTTGATTTCAATGGTTGACCGCCAGATTTCACTAAGTCTTGTTTGTTTAAACTACAGAACAAAAAAAATATGAATGTTATGATAATGAACTGATGGAAATAAGGTACCGGTACTTATATCCAACATTGTCGGTTCTAGTTTTCTGTGTTTGTATAGAGTTACAACAGGTGGTTGTGTGCGTTACAGTATAGAACTACATTGTATGCACATGCAAGGGTGAATGCTGTTTAGTTGTGATTTGTTGTTTGCTTTAAAGTTTGATTGGTTATGTTAAAACGATGCGCTAATGTTGAATGAGCAGTTTTAAGTTAAAAAAACTGCATGTACCTATATTAAATTTATCATGGTGATTGATTAATTTGGACAGGATGATAGGACATTTATAGATATTTATACATTAAGAATGACCTGAAGTAAAGTTTGTAAATTCTGACCAAAGATGTAACTTGTCAGTTGGAATCCCTACACGAAAGGGATATTATTTTATTTCATAAGAGGATGCTATATATGTAGCATGTGTCAGTATGAAGACCCTCGGTTCTACTCTGGTGTAAATTAAAATTGCATCAAGTAAGGCATGATGCAGGATCTTCATCCATCAATAAGAGACAATGTGACTTTGATAATGTCAAGGTGACTCTAGTCAACACATCAGCACATTACTGTAACATGCAAGCCAAGAAAACTATTTTGATTAAGCACATTTGCAACTGTTATGCTTTTGTTAAATGCAATCTTTAAATTGAGGTATTTAGATTGGTGAAATAATACATGTTATAAGACATTTGTGAAAAATTGTCATTATGTCATCCCCCTTTTAATTGTCTATTTACTTCTGAATAAAACAAAGTTAACATTTTCTCAAACCTCTAAACATACTTTTTTCCAATATTTTTCAGGTTTTTAAGAATTTGTCTTTTTATCTTAGAATTTTTATATTTCAGTATTTATCATTGTCATACACTTCCATCGTCATCGCATTTTATCTATTCACATTTTAATATAACAAAGAGTGACCCTTTACTAAATAACATGTTATTTACTCTATTCCCTTATTTACTAGCCTTTATGAGATATATAACTTTCTATTAATTTAGTAAATTTTATATCTCAGAACTAAGTAACTTTTATATAATATAATGTAGTTTTTTCTTCTTAGAAAATTCCATATTAGATTATCAATAAAGTAATGCAATATATTAGCTTTTACATTTTTGAATAAAAGCTTTGATTTATTGTAGTTTAGTATTGTTTTATTATTAAATCCTATTGGTTATTTAGTTATTATTCTTCTGAAAGTGATTTAAGAAAAATTATAATTTCATCTTTGATTAAATATTTTAAGTCTTTTTATTTCTTATTAAAACAAAGCCCTTTTTTTACTATTCAGAAATATTTGTGTTCAAAGTAAGATAGAATATTTTCTGATTTATATGAAATTAAAGACCTAAAATGACAATGAAGAAGAGTGTATGACTGTCTTTGTATGAATAATTTGTGTAATTGCAAGGTCCTGTAAGTAATAAATATTTTATATAAATATTTCAGCAAATCGTGTCAAACAAGCAGGTTGGCAAAACCAAAGATAGTGATGATCTGTCCTCGTGTATTCTGATGGTGAACGTGGACTCTGCTCGTGAACTTCCGGTGCGTATCATGTTATATTATATTTGACCATTCAGAACATAGCGGGCAATGAAACACCTTGCCACTAGTATAGATCTAGGCTTGCCTGCACTTCTGTGCAGTGGTATAAAACTTTAGTGGTTCACACTTCAGACCAGTGATATAAAGGTTGCTGGCCGGGTGGGTTCAAACCCTGTTAAGAGCAATTAAGCCAATATTTCCTTGAGCAAGGAATTTTACGCTTGTTAGGTAGTACTGGTTGGTTCTAGGAAAGATAAGAGTGTGTGTCTATATGCTAATAGCTTCTGAAATAGTCTGACAAATAAATTCTGTATAATATTTAAATTCTATCAACTTTGGTTTCATAATTTTGTAAATTTGATACCAAGGTCAATTTAAAACCCAAAAGCTGGACAATTCAAATTCAGATGGATACAGGGTTATGTTTAAGTTATTGCGTATGATGTTTAAAATAAGTGAATGTTGACTATTTTTATATTGTATTCACATTGAATTATTACTCTTTAGTTAATTTCACTCTTACACTAACAATGTACTGTCCCTTACACACAAATTTTGCATGGATGGGTAAAATGTATTGATATGGTGGTATTTTTTAACTAAATTGCATCCATCTTGTATTTTTATTTTAGTTTCGCACTTCAATCTTTATTTTTATTTGTATAATTTTGCACCAATTTAGTATTGTTTTTGTTTGATTTTTTTGTAACAACATGCAATTCTTAATGTCAACCAGTGAAACTTTTTTTATCTTTTTGGATGGGTTACTTGGTTTAAAATTACTTTGTTGATTTTTGTGCACAATTATGTTATTTACTTGATCTACATGTAATTCTGGTGCATGTAAAATTATAATACATAAATTCTAAATGGAAAGAAAACGAAATGTATTAATATGTTGGTAAGTGTTGCACAAATTTTTAAAACAATTTATTTGAAAGCATTCAATCTGGATTTTACTATAAATTTTAACACTCTGTTGTAAGAGCTAGAATTATAAATGAAACAACACCACATGTATGCATGAACATATGTAACGATGTAGGTGTGATGCACGTAATGGAGACTTTAGGAAAGCAATAAACAAAATATATGTGCACATGTGTGTTATATAGTCGAAATTGAAAGTTTCTTCTAGAATCACATGCACTATAATTTGCACAAGTAAACATTCAACATTCATCCGTTGAAATTCAAACATTAATGCTAAATGCAATGCAAGGACATCAGATACAACACCTATGACATACATTTAGGACGAAATTTAAAGATGTGATAATAAATATATAAACTGCTACATCTTACTATATGTTAGATGCCTCGGAAGTATGTTGATGTATTTGTAACTTTGACTGTTTCATCTCTTTAGCCATTTAATTTGAAAATATTGGTTTGAGTATAAGATATGCTTTTTAACTGCCATCGAGCGCATTTATAACAATGCACCAAATCACTCCTGAAATTACTTGTTACTAACAGTCTCAGCACCTACCAATGTGTGTTAATCAATTTTTCAATGTCCTGCGTTTGAATATATGTTTCAAAATGCCTTACCTGACAACAAATTATTGATCTGTGAATTCTCCTGTTTTCCTTAACAAGCCTTTAATCTTTGCACCTTAAGTTCATCAAATCATTGTAGGTCAAGCTAATGTTCAAAATGTTGATTTGAAAAGCTGTGAATAATTAGTTTGTAAATAAAATGATAATGCTTTCTTTGACTTGCCCTGATAGTTTAATAGTCTGTATCACTTAAATACAAGTGACTACCAGCAGATAGAATTACCAGACTCTTCAGTCTGATTCCCCTTGTGGCCGAGGGGCTGCATTAAATGGTTGAGGCATCAGAATTGCATACACCAAGTTCCATAACTCTAGCATGGAATAAGAAAATTCTATATCAAGTGTGGTGTCCAACAGCTCTTGTTGAATTTATTAATTGGTTGGGATGTGTAAGTTAATTGGCCAATTAATTAGAGACAGCCAATTATTGAAATCCAGCAACTTAAGTTGACAACTGGTAATGGCAAGTGCCAAAGCCATACAACTGAAAATATATTTCTCGACAAAATATTTGTCTTGTATCATGTCCATTCAGTAAATGACTCAACAAATTATGAAGTACATTGAAGAAATTCAAACAAATATATAGAGGATATTTCTTTAGTTCAGTGTAAGATCGGAATATATTTCACCGAGTGAGCACTTAAATGTATATGTCACGAGTGGCGCAGCCATGAGTGAAATATGAACTTCTGGTGTTCACGAGGTGAAATATATTTCGATCTTACACTAAACTAAACACATTTTCTTTTTATTATATGCAAAGAAATGTTTAAAAAGACATTTTGACCTAATACTAAATGAAAAGTGCGCACAATAATAATACAAGATGACGTCATTTTCGACCTCACGTCATTACTGCTTTTCCACTAAAACAACGTAAGGGGCTTAAATTCAAAACAGTGAAATTACCAAATTGATAATTTCACTGTTTCAAATATCAGTTTTTTATTATATGCTTTTCAGTGGATTACTGATTTATCTGTGAAAATTATATTTGATAATTTCACAGTGAAAATTATCAAAATATAATTTCACTTTTTTCAATGACGAAACTACTTTTTTAAGATTTTCCCCATGTGGTACCTCAATTTTATTTTTACTGACAATTCTGACAATGTCAGGCTGTTAAAAGAAATGGCAAAGCTGAAATAGATAAATAACTTGAATGTCAAAAGTAATAAAGAGAGAAAACTTACTTCTATTCCTTCAAATTCCAATTACCAAATTTCGTCTCTAAATTTTTTTGTTTGTTTTTACAGTCTGAAAAATACATTCCTTCCCCATGCAAAACTGCTCTTGATGACATTTGGGCATATTAAAGTATCCTACGAGCAATAACTGCCGTTTGCTTTATGAAAAATTGAAAAGCATTGACAGCCATCACTCGTAAAATAAGTAAAACAACCCAGCGTTCCTTCATGTCCTTAGCAAGCTTCCAAGTTTTCCATTTTCCTAGCTCTTTTTCTGAATGTTTTCACCTCTGTCAAGACTTATTTTTTGTCTGTTACAATCCTCAAATAAGTTTTCTTTCTTTTAAAAAGGTGTATAACTAACAATTTCAAATTATATCCTTCTGAATCTTACAAAATTATTTTCCTCCCATGAAATACACAAATTTAAAAAATGGCTGCCGCTTACATTTTACAAAGCCAGGTCTAATATAAATTCGCAGTAAGTAACAGAAGTATGGATGGATGGTTGGACTTTTTCTCCTGCAAGAATTGTTTGTTTTTATTATTAAAACAAGCGATCATTCATATTTTTTTAATAAAATGAATAAATATCACCGTCATTTAACCTTGTTTGGCGGACTTATTTTTCAGCTCAAGACTTCTTGTTTTAAATGAGAAATTCGTCTAAATGGGGCTCTCAATGGGGGAAACAGATTTTAATATTAACGTTAAAATTATGGAAATTTCGTTTTAACTTGTTTTTAAGCATAAAATAAAAAGAAAATTTGTCTGTTTGTTGTGTAAGATGTAATTTTATTTCATCTCGTGAACTTTAAAAACAGTATTCTCACTCGTGGCTACGCCACTCGTGAGAATACTGTTTTTAAAGCCCACTCGATGAAATAAAATTTCATCTTACACACAAACAAACAAATATCCTCTATATATTTCACTGATAACTTTCTATAAACCACTGAAAAGCATGTAACAAATACTAGTAGGTTGATATTGACATCCAAACTATGATAAATTCAAAATAATAAATGTAATTGTAATGTTCAGATTTTTATAATTGTATAATTGGTATTTTATTTTTATTCACAGTTGCTGTCTCAGGGCTCTTTTATGGTATGCTCATGCCATCAAATGCATCTTATCATTTTTATGACATTTTTTCAGAATTTCATGAGTTGTTTACATCTTGCAGTTTATTATTTATTCCCAACACTTTTGCTAATTCACTGTTTCTAGTGCCAGTTTTTCACTATATAGTTATATAGTGATATATTGATATATGTACAATAGATTTATTAATACATGTATTTGATTAATTTTTAGGGGGCTAGTTTTCTATAAGGTGTGTTACCTGAACCAAAGTTCAAATTTTTTTATATCATAAATATATCTCAGACTATGGAAATTTAAACATTCTTCTTTATCCACTTTGGAAATTGAAGAGTTTTCTTAATGTGGTAGTTTTTGAGAGAATTACTTTTGGTTTTAGGGGAAAAAATCAAGCACAATAGCCATGGCTATTCAGAATAAGTTGACAATTTTTGCGCGGCTTCCGAGTATGCAACTTCCTGTTACTCTACACCATTTTCCTGTTTCCTTTAATCTATGTGGCTGTGCAAATTGATAATTTTTTCTTTTAAAGAAAGTCAAGCACATACACAGTATTACACAACACACCAAGACATTTCAAGTGCTAGTTCTAAGAACACATACTTTCATTATGTAGTAGCCCTTGAGATGTTTTTTCTACTCTGAATAAAATTCTGTGTTTGAACAAAGCTTTTTTGGCTGTGTCTGTTTTTGATGTTATTAAACAAGCCAGTATTGTTATCGTCATTAATGTCATAATGTTTCTACATCTTTAATGATCATGCCTTTATCAGACTTTTAGCATGACTATGTCATTATAACCCACTTTTGTGCTGAAATTTTATAACAAACTGCAAAGGCTGAAAAAAGTTGCTTTTGTATGTTATTTATTTATCAATCAGTCAAACTATTAACTTTTTTTTTTCTTCGCTTAAGTTAATTTTAAAACAGGTACAAAATGATTAATGTATTCTAGTTGATTCATCAAACACTAGATGGTGACAATGTTGATAAGTCTACTCCACCAGAAAATATAAATTTAGTTAAATCAGCTGTCTGACCAGGCACATTATGTGTTTGCGGCTCGGTTTCAGTACTTTTAATGACAAAGTTGCTCAAACTGTTTCAAATTAAACGTTTGGCAAGTCAGTAGTAAAACGGCATAGAACCCTGCACAAAAAGTGGCATGGAAATTGTTATTAAGGCTACTAGTGTTGAAAAGTTTCACAAAAATATCATGATGGTCATAGACGTAAACAGTTAATAAATTAGTTTTTCATAATACATGTGCATCATATAGGTATTTAAGAAATATATGTTTAGTCCTTGACCTACTTTTACGACCAATGAGAAGGCCTAAATTCGAAAATTGCATTTTAGTATGCGTTTATTTAAATATTAATCCATTTAACTCGTGTTTATTTGGACTAACAGGGCATGTATATAAAAAGTAGGACAACAACAAAGCTCGATAGATCTAATTAGTAAAAAAAAAATTTTAAAATGTTTTTAAGCAGTTACTTTTTTGGTTTGCTCTGCCCCCTTTTTTAAAGCTGTTTTTAATTTTTAAATATTTTGTTTTCCGGAATCGGCTTTTTGGGTTTTTTCCGAAACCCCGGGGCTCCCAAACAATTTTTTAAAAGGAAAATGTTGGGGGGTTTTCAGGTAACAACTGTTTCACTTAAAAAATTCCCCGCCCTTTTTGGCAATTTTCAATGTTTGTAACTGTAAAAGTTTGTTTGTTCCACTGGATTAGCTTGCAAAATACTCTTAATTCTGAAAGGCAGACTATTTTTTATCTTATTAGCATCTATTATATAACAATTTATTTTCCATTAATACTTTGAAGCTTTCTAGATATATACTGGTAATAGATCTAGTACATTGAAAGTTTGTTCATATGTAATATATCGCTACATTAAAACATAAGGGCTGTTTTGGTACATTTCCTTGTTTGAAAAAAAAAAATTTCAATTAGGAATGAATGCAAAACCCAATACAATCTTAATTAGCCTTACAATCATTCAGGTTCTTTTGATTAATTTGCACGTACATCAATAAATAGCCTTTTGTTTAAACGCATGTACTGTAAACTTACATCATTTTCTCTGTCAGAATTCTTTTCTTGTTTTGTTTTATAATTTATAGAATATTTAATTTAGAAGATTTTTTTCATTTAAAAATTTATTTTTAAAAGGGGATATTTTGGAATAAAAAATTTTAAATGTTTACATTTTAATACATGTTTTATTACCTTTTTAATTTGCCCCCCTACCCTTTTTTTTCCGTGGGAAAAAAGGGTTTTGGGGTTTAAAATTACTAAAGAGAAAATTTTGTTGGTTTTTAAATTTTTTTTATTTTTTTGATTTTCCCAAGAAAACTTTTTCCCTTAAAATTTATTTCCCAATAAAAACTTTGTAGGGCCCAGAAAGGTAAGAATGGGGGTTCTTTTTGTTTCACCCCAGGGACTGGGGGTTTGAGCCCTACTCTTTTTGGGACGACTTTTCCTTTAAAAACCCCTGAAAGTTCAAGGATTTACGACCCAAAATGTATTTTTTAAAGTTGTAAAAACCTTTCTGGTTTAGGGATGTTTCAAAAAAATTTCAGAGTTTTAAAAGGGAAGAGTTATACCCCTTTTATTTTAGGGGAAAGGGATTAATTAGAAGGTTTCAATTTTCCCATTTTCTTTATACCATTGGGTATGTGGTTGCTTACTAAAAAAAAAATTTCCTGGTTGTTCAAGTTTTTCCCAGTTTTGAAAACCACAAAACTAACAAATCTTTAGGGATGTTTTTTTAAAAAACCTTTTCCCGGGTGTGTAAGGGTTTGCTTTACCTTGCCAACATTAAAAACTTTTTTAAAAAATTAAAAATTAAAATTGTCAGACGTAATATCTTTATTAAAAAAAGTTATTTAAAATTTTTTTGCGTATTTTCCCTTTATGGGGTTCTGGTTGGTGATAATGTAGTTGTGGGGTCATTCAAAAAATAATCTGGGTCAAATTTGGTAAAAGGGTGTCTCGTTAAGAAAAACTTGTTTGCTTAGAAATACTTAAAAATTAGGTAAATATTTAATGTGTAACTACTTCCCTTAAGGTCAAGGCCAAATTCAGCCGAAGAAATGAAAATAGGGGAACAATTCTTTAAAAAAATAGAGGTATGCATGTATGTTTATGTGCAAAGAAACATATTCTGTTTATGTTATATCTTTTGTTATGTATTGTAATTAGTGATTATTTTTCTTTTGTTCTTTACAAATTTATACTTGTCTTAGTTATACTTGTTTTGCACTTTATTTTTTTTAGATTGTACATTAATTAACATTGATTTTCTTTATTATTTTTGGTATACTCAGCTTTTTTGAAATGCCTTTTTTTCACAATACTATTTATTAATCAAATTATATAAGATAATCTTTAGAAAATTAGTAAAATACATTTCAATGTACAAGGCTTTATGACAATATTTGATGATTGATGACAGCTTTCAAAAAGTTAAATAGTTATCAAATCATTTGATTTGTCAGATTAAAATTTCAAGAAAATTTTTTGATTTCTTTTGGGCCGAATTTTTCTCGATTTTAATGTAAATTAAACTGTTTTTAAAAAAAGTTTTTTTAATAAGTTTTTCGATTGGGAAAATAAAAAAAAATTAGACTTGCCCATATTCCCCTTTTGCTATCTGTTCAGAGTTTTGGAATCTATAATTTGCATAAGGAAACCCCCAAGAAAGGCACTTTCTGGTATTTGATGAATTTCTTGCAAATGTCTATTGAAAAAAAAATGTATAGTTACTATTTTTCAGAGATTATCTTGAATACTTACTAAAAATATTTACATTTTTTTCCAAAAATTTAAGCGTAGAAATTTGTAATCATTTTATTGTTTATTTTGAAGAGGACAAAGAAGATGGCTGAACCGTCGCCCTATGTCTTGTGAGTGTTGGACAGAAGACAGAGGAGAGTAAATAGTGTAGATTCGACTGACTCGGTGGGAAAAGGCTTCCGGTTCCTTGTCCACGATCCAAATTTCCAGACTGTCGACTTCAAGGTAATGAATTTATCTACATGTATATTGTTCCTTATGAACATATATAGTTTGTAACAGAAAGATGAAATTGCTTCAGAAAATATCCCGCCGTGGCTTGGATTCGAACTTACAACCACCTGCTTTCAAGCAGAAGTAACAATGTTCTAGACCACTGAGCCAAAGAATCAATTCCCTGACATAATTGTCAGAGGTTGTATTTAAGGTTATGAAGATAACTAGGTGTGCATTCAACTGTTACAATTGAAACAACTTTAAAATTTACATTTATCTTGCCCTTACTATTAAAAGTAATGAATAGTATCTTGCTAGAACAGCATTTTAACAAAGTGATAGTATTGAGTTATCTAATGATGCTATCTATAACTTGAGTGTTCTTATTTTTCTTCTTGCCAAAAATATTTTCATTATAAGCAACAGGGTCTACTATGAAATGCCTACCCATCTATCTCAGTATTGAAATTTATTTGAAACCAAAAAAAAATTTTGGCCATACAATTTACTGCTTAAATTTTTGCATTTTATCTAAATTCCCCCCTTTATTCATTTTTTAAATTTTATTTCCTTTGGGTTTATTTCCCCTTTATTTTAAAAACAGTTTAAAATGAAAAAGGATAATTTGGGTTTCATGTAAACTATATTTTAAGCTGGGTATATTTTAAAAAGATTTTGATGAAAATTCAAAATTCTTTTTATTGAAAGTTTTTAATTTGGAAGAAAACAGACAAGCAAATCGGTGAGAAAGACTTACCCCCTTTAAAAATCTTCTTGGCCCCCACATGGAGGTGGCAATTTTCCCCCTAAAAAAAGGCAGGGGCAAAAAGTGAAATTTTTCTTTTGACTGGCAAATTTAGGGTAATGGAAATAAAGTACAATAAATTGACCCTTTTAAGCAGATGAGGTGAAAGTGTTTTTGCCCTGTCAATATATATAGCCTAGCTAGCTATCACCTTTGTGTTGTGTGACAAGATATTACTTGAGGTTTTTTGCATTTTGATATTGAAATTCTTTTTATATTTATATTTGTCTGGTCGATACCAGTTTAAAATGCATTGCAACACCATTAGAGGTTGATATATTTTAATAAGATTATAAAATATAGAAGAAATTCGGTTAACAGTACTTGCTTATGTATTCTAAGGACAAAGGGACCCTTTTTAGCTCACCTGAGCATATGCTCAGGGTGAGCTATTAGGATCACTCTTCGTCCGTCGTACGTCGTCCGTCGTACGTTGTCCGTTCACACTTTTCAAACGACATCTCCTCTGAAACCATAAGGCAGATCATAATGAAACTTCACAGGGATGTTCCTTGTGTGAACCTTAACAAAGTTGTTCAAAGAATTCCATTCCATGCAGAACTCTGGTTGCCATGGCAACCAAAAGAAAAAACTTTAAACATCTTCTTCTAGAAAACCCAAAGAGCTAGAGCTTAGATATTTGGCATGAAACATCTTCTAGTGAGTGTCTACCAAGATTGTTCAAATAAAATCCCTGGGGTCAAAATTGGCCCCGCCCCAGGGGGTCATTGATTTTCCCTATATGCATATAGTAAAAACTTAAAAAAATCTTCTTTTAAAGTACCCAAAGAGCTAGAGCTAAGATATTAAGCATGAAACATCTTCTAATGAGTGTCTACCAAGATTGTTCAAATAAAAGCCCTGGGGTCAAAATTGGCCCCGCCCCAGGGGGTCATTGATTTTCCCTATATGCATATAGTAAAAACTTAAAAAATCTTCTTCTAAAAAACCCAAAGAGCTAGAGCTTAGATATTTGGCATGAAACATCTTCTAATGGATGTCTACCAAGATTGTTCAAATAAAAGCCCTGGGGTCAAAATTGGCCCCGCCCCTGGGGGGTCATTGATTTTCCCTATATGCATATAGTAAAAACTTAAAAAAAATTTCTTTTAAAGAACCCAAAAAAGTAGAGCTAAGATATTTAGCATGAAACATCTTCTAATCGGTGTCTACCAAGTTTGTTCAAATAAAAACGCCTGGGGTCAAAATTGGCCCGCCCCAGGGGGTCATTGATTTTCCCTATATGCATATAGTAAAAACTTAAAAAAATTTTCTTTTAAAGAACCCAAACAGCTAGAGCTAAGATATTTAGCATGAAACACCTTCTAATGGGTGTCTACCAAGTTTGTTCAAATAAAAGCCCTGGGGTCAAAATTGGCCCCGCCCCTGGGGGTCATTGATTTTCCCTATATGCATATAGTAAAAACTTAAAAAATCTTCTTTTAAAGAACCGTAAGAGCTATAGCTTAGATATTTGGCATGAAACACCTTCTAGTGAATGTCTACCAAGTTTGTTCAAATAAAAGCCCTGGGGTCAAAATTGGCCCCGCCCCAGGGGGTCATTGATTTTCCCTATATGCATATAGTAAAAACTTAAAAAATCTTCTTTTAAAGAACCCAAAGAGCTAGAGCTAAGATATTAAGCATGAAACATCTTCTAGTGAGTGTCTACCAAGTTTGTTCAAATTAAAGCCCTGGGGTCAAAATTGGCCCCGCCCCGGGGGTCATTGATTTCCCTATATGCATATAGTATAAACTTAAAAAATCTTCTTTTAAAGAACCATAAGAGCTAGAGCTTAGATATTTGGCATGAAATATCTTCTAGTGAATGTCTACCAAGTTTGTTCAAATAAAAGCCCTGGGGTCAAAATTGACCCCGCCCCAGGGGGTCATAGATTTTCCCTATATGCATATAGTAAAAACTTAAAAAATCTTCTTTTAAAGAACCCAAAGAGCTAGAGCTAAGATATTTAGCATGAAACATCTTCTAATGAGTGTCTACCAAGTTTGTTCAAATAAAAGCCCTGGGGTCAAAATTGGCCCTGCCCCAGGGGGTCATTGATTTTCCCTATATGCATATAGTAAAAACTTAAAAAATCTTCTTTTAAAGAACTCAAAGAGCTAGAGCTAAGATATTTAGCATGAAACATGTTCTAATGGGTGTCTACCAAGTATGTTCAAATAAAAGCCCTGGGGTCAAAACTGGCCCCGCCCGGGGGGTCATTGATTTTCCTTATATGTGTATAGCAAAAACTTAAAAATCTTCTTTGGAAAAACCCAAATAGCTAGAGTTTAGATATTAAGCATGAAACATCTTTAAGTAAATATCTACAAAGTTTGTTAAAATAAACGCCCTGGGGTCAAAACTGGCCCCGCCCCAGGGGTGTCATTGTTTTTAACTATATGTGTATAGTAAAAACTTTAAAAATCTTCTTTTAAAAAAGCCAATGAGCTAGAACTTAGATGTTTAGCATGAAACATCTTCTTATGGGTGTCTACCAAGTCTGTTCAAATAAACAAATAAAAGCCCTTGGGTAAAAATTGGCCCGGGGGTGGGGGCCTATATACAGGTGAGCGACCTCAGGGCCATCATGGCCCTCTTGTTTATGATGGACCATTTTGTAGGGTTTTTTTAAAACAGTGATTTGTAGCTCAATTTTATTCCTACTTGACAGATGTAACTGCTCAACAAATATGGTTTCTTTATTGACTATTCAATTAATAGTTAGGCTAACCTACTCACCTGGGTGTTTGAAGGCAATTAGGCAACCAGATATTTTTTGGCCCCTTGTGTGCTCAGTTTTCATTTGAGCATATGTATGAAATTTTCAAATTTCACAATCTTACCAGTGATAAATGTTACAAGCAATTGTAATTTTTGTTAAGAGAATGATGTGTTATTATTACAGGTGTTGACAACTGAGCAAAGTGTAGAGGAAGAAACCGAGAATCTCATGACAGAACCTATTCCTGACGCCAAGGAAACCGATCTTGATGAAGCTGCTTCCAAGGACAAACCTGCGCCCAGCTCTCCTGGTTCTCCGACGGATAGCGCCCCTATCAAACCAGTGTCTGCAGAGACTGTGAAGAAAGCACCCCCTCCTCAGGCCGTCCAGCAAATACCGAAGGCGAAGTCGCCAAGCCAGGAAAGGGAAACCGATGTTAGACAGAGGAAAACACCATCGGTATCAAGGTGACTGATGATAAAAGCTTTTGAATTTTTCTTGTCTTTCAGTTTCTATAAGAAGTTTTGTTTTGGCTGATAGAAGAACATTTAATATTCTTACTACTCTTGTTTCAGTATGATATTTGTTAGAAGAATTTGTTCAGACCTCTATATTGTAATAAAGAATAAAAATAACCAGCACAGAGATAAATTTTTGAAGTGATGCTCTATCCTAAGCACAAGATAAAGAAGTATGGTTCAAATTTTAGCCAAGCTTGTGTATCTCAGAATAAACCTATAAAGAGAAATGTATCAGGGAAGACCATCATTGTGTCCCCATTTGAAACTTTATTCTGCAGAATTACCAGTTTTAAGATATACTTTTTGATAAAATGACTTATTCAGTCTTAAAACAACTAACCTGAGATTGACTTTTAAGCTATCTTAAATATTGAAATACTACTTCCATAGAAAGTGGTTTGAAGTTCACTTAACCACTTGGCCATGGACGATGATTTTTTTTTTTAATAAATAGGCTGAGCCCTCAAATAGTTATGTCTCCCCCACCTCGGGGGGAGACATATTGTTTTTGCCCTGTCCGTCCGTCCGTCAGTCCGTCCGTCCGTCAGTCCGTCCGTCCATTCTTCGTTTCCGGACGATAACTAGAGTTCCTTTTGACCTACAGCTCTCAAACTTCATAGGATGAATGGTCTTATTGAGCAGATGATCCCTATTGTTTTTGGGGTCAGTAGGTCAAAGGTCAAGGTCACACTGACCGTTGGTCAATTTCTCGTTTCCGGATGATAACTAGAGTTCCTTTTGACCTACAGCCCTCAAACTTCATAGGATGATTGGTCTTATAGAGCTGATGATCCCTATTGTTTTTGGGGTCAGTAGTTCAAAGGTCAAGGTCACAGTGACCGTTGGTCAATTTCTCGTTTCCGGATGATAACTAGAGTTCCTTTTGACCTACAGCCCTCAAACTTCATAGGATGATTGGTCTTTATAGAGCTGATGATCCCTATTGTTTTTGGGGTCAGTAGGTCAAAGGTCAAGGTCACACTGACCGTTGGTCAATTTCTCGTTTCCGGACGATAACTAGAGTTCCTTTTGACCTACAGCTCTCAAACTTCATAGGATGAATGGTCTTATTGAGCAGATGATCCCTATTGTTTTTGGGGTCAGTAGGTCAAAGGTCAAGGTCACAGTGACCGTTGGTCAATTTCTCATTTCCGGATGATAACTAGAGTTCCTTTTGACCTACAACCCTCAAACTTCATAGGATGATTGGTCTTATTAATCAAATGATCCCTATTGTTTTAATGGTCAGTAGGTCAAAGGTCAAGGTCACAGCGACCGTTGCAGTGGGGGAGACATGCGCTTTTTTACAAAAGCATCCTCTAGTTTTAGTTTACTTTTCCAAATTTTACATAATGCACAGTTTTTTTGGGAACCAACAAGAAAAAAAGTTTGGCACTTTCGCATAAGGTATCATATTTGTTACTTACCTAATACAGATTTTTGTATCTGTTGAATCTTATTAGCACTTCATGATTTGAGTGTATTTGAGATAAAATTTCTAGGTTTATAATAAAGAACTTTATCCATGTATTTGAATACTTATATATCAGTTTCTTCCTATATAGTATTTTGTCATATCTCTGAATATTTTGTGTTACAGTGCTGATAGCAACCTGGGATCATACAGACTTGGTAGGATACAACTTACTCTCAGATACAGTATGCAGAGAGGAAAACTCATGGTCTGTGTCCATAAATGCACGTAAGTGGATATGTTGTACTTAAGTTCATTGATTTTGGAAATCCTCTATTGCAAGTGTAGGATTTTTTTTATATGAAAATCCTGGGTCTGTGTAGGTAACAAAAATGAGATTTGTCAGACTACAGAGAAATGAGGCTTGTCTAGATTTATACTGGTGGTATAATTTGGATGTTATTACAGCTAGTTTTATTATGCCCCCGCCATGTAATGGCCGGGGCATATAGTGTTACCCTGTTCCGTCCTTCCGTCATTCTGTCATTCCGTCATTCCGTCATCATCAGTTTCCGTTCATTATCTTAGTAACGGTTGCACACATTCAACTCAAATTTGACATATGGATATGTCATGAGAAAATACAGGTCAAGTTCGAATTTGGTCATGGTTCGATGATTTTTGGCAGAGTTATGCCCCTTTTACTTTGAAAATAATACGAAATTTTCAGTTTCCGTTCATTATCTCCCCAACGGTACAACACATTCAACTCAAACTTGACATATGGATATGTCATGATAAAATACAGGTCAAGTTCGAATTTGGTCATGGTTTGATGAATTTTGGCAGAGTTATGCCCCTTTTACTTTGAAAATGATATGAAATTTTCAGTTTCCGTTCATTATCTCCCCAACGGTACAACACATTCAATTCAAATTTGACATATCGATATGTCATGATAAAATACAGGTCAAGTTCGAATTTGGTCATGGTTCGATGATTTTTGGCAGAGTTATGCCGCCTTTCACTCTGAAATAATATGAAATTTTCAGTTTCCGTTCATTATCTTCCCAACGGTACAACATATTCAACTCAAACTTGACATATGGATACGTCAAAGGAATGCGCAGGCCAAGTCCAAATTTGGTCATGGTTCAATGATTTTTGGCAGAGTTATGCACCTTTCACTTTGAAAATAATATGAAATTTTCAGTTTCTGTTTATTATCTCCCCACCAGTACAACACATTCAACTCAAATTTGACATATGGATATGTTTTTGGAATGCCCAGGCCAAGTTCTAATTTGGTCATGGTTCAATGATTTTTGGCAGAGTTATGCCCCTATCACTTTGAAAATAATATGAAATTTACAGTTTCTGTTCATTATCTACCCAACAGTGTTACATATTCAACTCAAATTTGACATATGGATATGTCAAAGGAATGGGCAGGTCAAGTTGGAATTTAGTCATGGTTCGATGATTTTTTTGGCAGAGTTATGTCCTTTTCACTTTGAAAATAATATAGATACATCTTAGGAATAAGCAGTTTAAGTTTGAATTTGGTCGTGGTTCAATGATTTTGGACAAACTTATCTTTCTTGAATGTTGGAAAATTTTTGAACTTTCAGTTTCAGCACTCATACTTTTGTGGAAATGTATGTAGACATTATTTTGGCTACAAATATGAAATATGCTATTTTCAAAAGGTTAAGACTGAATAATTTCAGTGCCTTGAACATTGTATGGAAATGGTTTGTGTTAACATTGAAAAGTTTTAAGGGCTTTGAACTTAAAATGAAAAAAATAATTTGTGCAAACAAATTTGGAACTAAATATTATAACATCTGAAATTTTGGCTGCATGCGGGGGCATCCGTGGCATGATGACACATTTCTAGTTACAGTAAATTTTATAATATCCAGTATTATTGTAGCTAGTATGTATTCACCTTTTGATAGAAAAAAGTGATTCTCAAATATTTCCATGACAATAGAAACGTAATATTACAATAAGTAAGTACAAGCATTTTTCAGGCTGTCAACCAATTCCTATATTCCTATAAAACTCCTATATTTTGGGTCTGAATCCTATATTTTAAAAAACCTCCTATTTTTCCTATATTCTCCTATATTTTGAATATTTTTCCTATATTTTTTTAAAAAGTATATTGCCGAGGAATTCAAAGAGATTTAAATTTTGGTACTGCTTTTGGCCTTTTGTATTTTACAGGTAAGAGAATGTGAATGCCTGCATCAGCATCACATTACTATGCTCAAGGCTGCTGTGCTCCACATAGCCATCTGCATGGTCACCATGAAAAGCAGTGCATCAGTATGTCACATTTATTTCAGGTGACCATTCAGATGATGGTCATGCATTGCTGTATCTTTCCGCTGATGCTGTGGTTTAAAGCTAATGCAGGCTGTCCAGCATCCCTAAAATTCCTAAAAAAGTGAAAAATTCGAAGGGAATTCCTAAAAATGCCCTATTTTTTCACTGAAATTCCTAATTATTTTTATCTTTTGTACTAAACATACTTATAACTTGTAACCCTATAAACATAACTCAAAGTCGACCATGTTTTGAACATTGTCAAAAATGATTTGGCCATGATTTGCCAACTCAAAATTGATGACATTGAAATGGTTTCGTTTAAACTAAAAGTTACTTTGACTATGTCAGTAACATTGCTATTTCATAATCAAAGCAGTTGTTGATAATCATGTTGACAGTTAACAGCAAAAACACTACCATATCATTGTCCTGAAACTTAAATCATAACCATAAGAGTCCACTTATTCTGGAATATTTTGACACTGCTTTGCCAACTCCAGATATCTTGAATTTAATGTTTGTTCATTTTATCCAAATTTCTGAAGTGGTCCATTTGTATCATATCATATTTGAAAATGATCATTATGAAGCTGTTGTAACACAATCTTAATTAAAAACATGTATAAATAGTTGTCAAAAATTAATGCACAATTTGTTTACTCACAACTCTTTTATTTAAATCTGCATAATATCAAAACAACATTGTAAAGTACTGCATGGGTTAACATAGACTTTGAAAAATTAATTCTTTCCCTCATACTTATTTATTCTTTTCGTATCTTTGTAGGAGAAATTGCTTATTTTGCCACAAAGTTATCAATTTCATTCAGTTCTTGTTCTTTCATTCATATGGTGCAATTTAGGAAAGGCAGACTCATATAATTAATCACACTCAAAATAATTTGGCAGTTCAGTAATATAAAGCTCATTTCCAATTACAATGTACACACATTTTGCAATTATGTGATCTAGATAAAGTGCAATTGAATGGTCTGTGTGATGAACTTTTTTGATGTGCAATTCTTTGTGTTGAATATAGATGTTTCCCATTTATTCAAATGACTGTACTAAGGCAAATGCCTTTTTACTTTTTACCTACTTTTACAAAAAATTTCATTTGTCCATAATTATGATTCAAAAGCTGCATTGTGCAAGAATTTCACTGTATAAGAATTCCTTTTAGACACTTGTGGTTATAACATTCCCAAAACATAGGTAGAACATGTTCTTTTTGACATGTTCAGCCATTTTAAAAAAAATGGTTTGAACATGATTTGACTATGACCATTTCTGCAGGGGAGGCAGTTGACCAGTGAGTCCACACTGGTAGCACCTTTGCTCTATTACTAAACTAGAGCATTATTTGTGAGTTACTTTTGTGTCAAATATGCAAAGGTTAGCCCACATCGTGTTCTTTTGGGACCTTAGTTTATTTAGTCATAAAATTGCAAATTGTAGCCCTAAAATTTCTATTACGTACCCTAAAATTCCTAATTTTAGGCCTAAAATTTCTGAAATATTACTGTAAAATTCGCCCTAATTTTATGTTGAAAGGTGCTGGACAGCCTGCTAATGGTTTCCTTCACTTATACGGTAGACATTTTATTGTAGAAACAGCATGTTGAAAAGTAAGAATAATTTACATTTATATAAGCATTAGTAAGTTAAACAATTTAAGTTGAAAACTCCTATTTTTTTGCCTTAAAATGGTCCAAAAACTCCTATATTTCCTGCTAAAATATTCCTATATTCCTCCTATATTTTGGATAAGACCTGGTTGACAGCCTGATTTTTTGATGTATGACAAATGGCCACATTTCCTTAATGTAGTTCATTATACAAGATCTGTTTCATTGGCTTAAGGAATTGGCTCTGTCTGAGATTCTCATTTTCTTTCTCAGTTGTGAACAACTGTAATACTTACAGATCATTCTTTTAATGCACAGAAAATACAACTGTTTGTACCATAAATAAAATACAATTGTTTGTTAAATCCATATTTAGAAAATGACTCACTTTAATCATACAGATTTATCATTCCTATGGCAAAACATATGCAGATATTAATTTTGCTGTTTTCAGATGTCGATTTCTAATTATTAGAACACCTGCTCAAATCTATTCATTAATATATGATATTGTTGTTTTCAGATGCCTGGAAGCATTAGACAAGGACAATTTCTCCGACCCGTACGTGAAGATGTACCTTCTACCAGATAGAGGCAGCAGCAGTAAGAGGAAAACTAAAGTGATTAACAATAATCTTAATCCTGTCTTTGATGAAACGTGAGTACACTTGAACCCCTTGATTATTTTTATTCTGAAAAATTAGTTTTAGCATATTTAATTTAGATTGGTTTTGATGAAAGTTTAAAAATTATTTGTACCATTCTTGAGTCTGATTCTTGTGGAACTACTTAGTACTGGTGTGATGTGTATTTAGGCTACATTCCCTTTAAAAATTGATTACTAAGGATATTAATTGCAACTCAATCTACCCATGCAACTAATGCAGACCAAAATCAGCTGGTACATAGATTATGTGACTTCAGATCATGGTCTGCACTGTTTGTAATGCAGTCAGTACTTATTTTGTTTTTGTCCAGATTGAATGATAAACAAGTGTTATTAAGATATTGAGCATGGTTAGGTTTAAATATGTTTTAACTCTACTATTTGTTTAAATATTTAGATATTGTATATCGAAAGGCAGAATTGATGTTAAGATATTTATTTCTTTAATTTAAAGATTTGAATACGGTGTGACACCTCAAGAGCTGGTCACCCGCAGTCTGGAAGTCACTGTTAAGAATGATACATCAATGTTTTCATCCAGTAAGAAAGAAATGGGCATGGTTCTGATAGATCTGTCCAAGTTTGACATTCAGAAAGCATCAACTGATTGGTGAGTATAGGATTCTTTAGAAGAACTGGCAAAACCTGTTCCTTGAAACCACCTTAAGATAAAAATGACCTCACCGAAATCATGCCTAAACCTGCTAAAAAATACCAGTCAAGTTTTTGTAGGGAATATTTTATCTTATTTCATATATATCTCTTGTGCATTTAATATGATGCTGCACACTCACTACTTAAATTTTATCAACAGCTGAATTTTATATAAAGCATAGTGTGTGTGAATTGTTTACAAGTCAGTTTTATATGTTAATCACATTAATTTATAACAACAGTTCTTTTTATTACCCAGTTTTACAAATGAGTGCACACCTGCCTCATTTACTGTCAATACAACCTCTGATAACTGCATCAGAATTTGTTTGTAAACTTATGATTACAATTTAAAATTCCACAGAGTAGGAATCTTCTGTGATGTTTTTTTTTGAATCTAATTCTTTTGAATTGACTTGCTTACAATACCAAGCAATTGGATAGCAAAATAATGGAAATTTATTCACAAGTGTTCTGCTATCCCGAGATTTTGTTGACATATCAAAGAAATAGTTTGTTATACAAAAAACACACAAAACAAAAAAAATTGTATAATGAGAAACAGAAAAAATATGTTTGGCTCAATCTTAATTGTAATTTCATTTTGTGTATTTTTCTCTCTTTTTTCACCAGGTATGACCTTGCCCCTGAAGAACAACTACAGAAGAAAGAGATTGAAACCGATATTTAGAATGGACAGATTTAAAGCCCCAATGACAGAAAAAAGAAACCTATTTGGAAGGTCAAAGACCAGCCAAAGGGACGTTCTGAATACCTGAACTTCAAAAAAAAAATCTTAAACTTTTAAAAAAATGTGTATAAAGTTGTTGTAGTCATTTAGAATAATCTACAGTAAATTGAAAGGATTTCTCATATCAGCTATGCTTAAATTAAGTTGCCAGCTTTTCTCTGGTCACAGACTGCACTCACCTATGTCTTTACTGTTGATATAGGCAACACATATCAATGCTAGTATCGGAATTTGTGACAACTTCAAAGTTTTTAATGCTTCTGAGGGATCACTTTTTTACCAGATATTTAAGTTTTAGTAACTAACTGTAAAGAGTCTTTTGATACTGCATAGATGTGTTGGCCAAAAAACCTGTTACTATAAGCAAGTCAACATGAATGTAGTGTAAGTAAGTCATTATTAATGCTTGATAATTAAATTGTATGTTTTGTCTTCCCACAAGAGTTGCGGTCTATTCTAATGTTTAGATTTCCAGAGGCACTGGTCTTCAGATTATAAAAATTTTATCAAATGAGCCGTGTCACGACAAAACCAATAAAGTGCATTTGGGACCAACATAGATCAAGACCTGCCTGCGCTTCCGCGCAGTCTGATCAGGATCCATGCTGTTCGCTTACCAACTCTATTACAAGTACAGAAACTGATAGCGACCAGCATGGATCCTGATCAGACTGCACGGATGCGCAAGGTGGTCTGGATCTAAGCTGGTCGCAAATGCACTATGTTGATTTTGTCGTGACGTGGCTCAAATGTTATTTAGGTAAAGTAATACTCCTACATGTATATCTTATATTTTTTATTACTTCATACAGCTGCAATAAACATCTATGTTTTTGTCATGTCATGTTGATTCTTTATGTAATTTGGCTTGTTGTTTTTCTCATTTCTATATTCTGTATACATGTATATAAAATATATAAATCAAATTATTTTTCAAGAAAATTTAGCAAGGGTGTTCTTTTCTTTAATATTTATAAAGCGCCATATCATGTTGTTTGGAAATAAATCAAGTTTTAATAGCTATGACAAAAAATTAAAAATTGACTTTTGTACTTAGAAATGAGAGCAAAGAGTTTTTGATCCATATCAAAAAATAAACCATGCTATCACATTGTTTATAAATTTATATTGTAAAATAAAGTTTACCATAGGGATATTTATGAAAATGATTTAAATGATTGTTTGTTGATCTGAGAATAATGTATCATATTTACTCTTTTAGTGATAAAAATACATTAACTGTATTTATTTTTGGTGATGATTTGTTTAGAAATGATAAAAAAATTTGTATATGTATTATGCTCAAAGTTTTTTTATGATAAATTATGTTAGTTCGACACTATACTTCTCTAAGGGTTAAATAAGTGTCATCAATGTATAGTAATTAAATTTTTTCAATATGTCAATTAGTTTTTACTAATCTGATCAATTTATTGCTATCGAAGGATACACAGATTAGGGATTGGGAATAATAAAAGTTATAAGTGATGTTAATCTGTGATTCCATCTTTACCCATAAAATTGGTTTACCTTCATTTTACATACAAGAAAAACAATAAAAGTGGAACAAACAGTCAACACGGGATAAGTTTTAAGGTTTATTTAATGATGATAAAACCCAAAAGAAGTTTTAAGTTCTCTTTTCTATTGGTTTTGTAAATGCAATGTTAAGGAATGTTTGCAAAACTGTTGGTAATCTGTGCCTTTAGTAACTATATGTAAGTACACAATTATGATGATTTTTTGACAATTTTATATGTTAAGAATAAGTTTACCTATGAAAGTAGATTTATGCAAAATATGTTTAAATTGAATATTCTAACTGTTAATTTTTTTTTATAAAAGCTTGATGTGGATAAAGATATGTCAAGATATTTCTTGCCTCTTTTTTCTGTATTTTTGTAGCTCATGTACAGTAATTTGTACCGGTATATCGTCACCTTGATGCAGTAATGAATTAACTCTTGTTGAATTATTTTCACTCAGGTGACAATATATAGGTATATACATGTATATATAAAATTATGTATAGAACTTTATATATAGGTGTTGTAAGGTAGATCAAGGCATATCATTGTAATACAAAAAGTAAAAATAAGAAATATTGACATATCCATTGTGCTTGTACTGCAAAAAGTAAGCATAACTTGATTTTCATAAGTTTTACTTTCATTTTTTTCAAATTAACATGCTAAAATAGACATGATCTATTTGAATTGGAAAGGCAAGATGAACTCGGAATGCTTGAAGTTGTTGCTGTTTTGTTTTTGCATATGTCTCTTGGACGTAAAACTCAACGAAAGAAGAACCAACAAAATATATTCAGATATTTTCTCAGAGTGTCATAGAAACCTGTGATGTGATTGAATATTTTTAAGAATAAGTACATTTATATGATCATAATACTGACATGATTGAATATTCTTGCTAATAAGATATATATTTTTAATAAAAAAATATGATTGAATATATATAGATTGATGAAAGCATGATTGAATATTTACAAGAAAGTGATAATTATACATGTTATACATACATATAGACTTGTTGGAAGATAATTGCAGATAAATACATGTAGATAATTCATATAAACTAAGGAATGCTGAAATATTCATACAAATGTGATGATATATATATACATATTACACTTGTATAACACAGGTGTGATTGAATATTCTTACAGAAAATTGATAATTATTCATGTATGAATATATTTAATGATACAGGATTTATTTTGTAATTTCTTTACATTATGTCCCCCATGACAAACAACTTTATTATTTGTCTCTAAAATATAACTAACAAAGTGTTGTTATTGTTTTATGAAGATTTTTTTTATCCATATTCAGTGGCTGTTTCAATTTATGAAGTTAGAAATTCATCGAAAAGGAAAAGTCCTTGTTTTTATGTATATTACATGCAGATATATAGTTATGATATTATGTAGAGTAAAACAGAAAATTATCACCAAAAAAAAAAAAAGAATATTATTTTAGAAAAGGTATAGGAAATATATTTAGCGTACAGGGTTTATTTTTTGTGTATTTTGTAGAAATCAGTGGTTTATCAATGTAGCAAATTTTGTTTTTATAACAATGGTAAGCGTTATCTTGAACTTTGTTATTTCCTAGCTTCTTGAAAAATACTCTCCCTTTAGATTAGATATAAGTGTAATAGTAAGATTAAATCATGGGTCACTTTTAATATTGTGCAATCACATTTTATTCCCCTCTCCTGTTCTTTCAATTTTTTGGGGGGCTATATACAGTGTTTTCTTTGTATTTCTAGCTAATAATGAAATCTATTTCATAAGAAATCATTGTTTTCTATTGGCATTCCTTCAATATGGGTTAATAAATAAAAGTCTAGAAAAATATTGTTTTAATCATTAACAAAAAAAATGTGTGTTTTTCTTTTAAATTAGTTTCTGGATTTTGAATTTCTGAATTTAAATTAATTTGAAGTTATTGTAATATGAAAGAGTAGCTTAAAGTGATTAAACGAAAATTTCACTTCTCCACAATGAATTTCTAAAATGATTTTTTCTTGGTTTGATTGTGCTGATGTTTGTAAAAGTAATTTTCAAGATCTAAAGCAAATTAGGCTGTCAACAGTGTAGAAGCCTGTGTCAGACTGCTCAGAAATGCAGACTGCTTTGCTCCATACTGTTCCAATATGCTATCTTCATACTACATTTTGAATATATCATAACCTTTTCATGTCTTATTTCTGCTGATTTTTATGTACTTTTGTTTTATTGTGTTTTTCTTTCTTGAATACTCACACATTATATAGTGTTGGACCAAATTGTAGGCATTATATCAACTTTCATTACAAATAGCAGAGTTTTCTTTTGTACATGACATATACATGTACTTTGATTAGAATTCAGGTACTTCCTTATTTTAGACTAAATACTATTCAAATCATCAAAATAAGAACACATGACTACCTCTGATTTCCAAGAACCATGAAAAGATCAGATATTAATCTTTCCTTCCTTCAATAAATCAACTGTGTTGTTATGGTTGTTTTCTAAAGTGAAGATACACAAAACTTGAATGAACTTTTATTAAAAAATGTGATAATTTAAAATATCTTGCTTTATGATAATATATTTCTTATGTTCATGTTCTTTTTTGTTATTCTTCTATACAGGGTGATTTGTATGAAATTTGTACTTCCTGATATTTCAATTTTGTTGTAAGTCTATTGGTTTATGTAATATACAAATTTTTCTATCTTGACAAAAAAAGAAGAGTCTCATAATTTGGTTTATAAAGTAGAAGTGATTTTTTTCCTGTACTTCATTGCATTGTTTTGATATTTATGGAAAATATATGCGATTAACATTGAATTAAGATGCTTTTCTCTGGTGATATAAAGTGATACCACTATATATAGATCTTGGCGTTTTAGTATGTACATACATATATATACTCATTTATAATAAATAATACTGGGTTGTTGCTTATCTTTTCCTATTTTATATTATAACACATTTATGCATATTTTGTTAGTGATATTAAATATACTTTAAATGCTTCATATGAGTTTTGTGTCATTAATTTATCCAATACTTTATTAGCTTTACCTTGCACAGCAAATTTGTTTTTACAAAGGATATGTGGAGCATAATAATAGATATACTGATTTGCCATCATTGTCTCTCCGTCTTCCTTCCATGACACATTCACCTATTCTGATAGCAGCTGTAATGACCAATTCCTCTACAAGCGACTGACAACTAATTCCTACATAAGTTTAAAATCAGCGATGAGAGACTAATGATCATAAGACTCAATATCCAAGATCAGTTGTCACAGAGAAATTTCACCTCAATCACCAAACTAGCGAGACATGGATTACAAATTCTTTCACTGTTATTTAAGCTAGGCAGGCATGCAGAAAAAAGAAGAGAGTGTTACAAACCACATTAAATGTATTCAAGTTGGAAAGGGAAATAAGAATTGCTGATGAAACTAGAAATGAGTCCATAGGACACGGATGCCCCCACACACCACTGTTCTGTCAATCTTATGACTCTAGGTCAAATGTTTTTGGACTACATGTGCCACAATTTGAAAACTAAAATCAATAAAGGGCCATAATTCTGTTAAATTTGGTCGCAGCAAAAATTCCTTCCTTTACTACCATCTACACATAAAGGTTGTTCATACCTGGAGGTTTAAGCAAAATCTGCCATCCGGTTTGAGAGGAGATGCGTTCACAAAATTTCTACATAGTATATAGTGAAAAAATCAACAAAGGGCCATAATTCTGTTAAATTTGGTCGCAGCGAAAATTCCTTCCTTTCTACCATCTACACATAAAGATTGTTCATCCCTGGATTTCTAAGCAAAATCTGCCATCCGGTTTGAGAGGAGTTGCGTTCACAAAATTTCTACATAGTATATAGTGAAAAATCAACAAAGGGCCATAATTCTGTTAAATTTGGTCGCAGCAAAAATTCCTTCCTTTACTGCCATCTACACATTAAGGTTGTTCATCCCTGGAAGTTTAAGCAAAATCTGCCATCCGGTTTAAGAGGAGTTGCGTTCACAAGATTTCGGGACGTACGGACGGACGGACAAGTGCAACGCTATATGCTCCCACTTTGTGGGGGCATAAAAATCTGGCCATCCTTACACTTGCAGAGTGTTTACTTATTTTGCTAAGTTGGAATCAAAAATCAAAATAAATATTTTCTGATTCACCATTTATTCATAAAAATAGATGATATATATCATAATAAATATACAAAATAAAGTACATCAAGTATCAAATTTACCTCTAGATCTATATAACAAATGCATGAGATTCTATTTTTAAAGCATGAATCTAAAAATCTGTGAAGAGAAGCATTTACGTCTTGTAAAATACATGTACAAAATATTGCACAATACGTTAATAACAACAGTATGATGAAAGTTACATCCCTTGACAATTGACTGAGAACTAGATGCAGTAATTTCAGGCCTTTTAATTACAATTGGCCAAGCTTGACTGAACTTCAGTAAAGCATTATCTATTAGCTAATTTGATATTTGAACGTACTTCCTTAAGCTACTTGAACAGACAGTGATTAGCCAATAAAGAGTCAAGTAGAAGAATTCCATAATACACTTGTCTTTCATTCTAATCCTGTTTCTCTTTTTAAGAATATATGAAATGCTTTGAGCATATTGTAAACTGAAACTGTATACATATTCTGAGACATAAATTTTGCATTTTTATACTGAAATCCATTAAATTTTGAATGGACTGTTCTATATTCAAAGAAGGACAAATTATAAATAAATTCATTATTCAAAGTCAGAAGGTTAAGAACTAAATACAACTTCTGACGGTTCAAATTTTAAAGAGAGACAATATAGCAAAGTTATTGTGAAATGGAGCTAAAAATGTGTTCGCATTAGAACAGAACCAATAATTTAAAGTAAAACCTTAATTATAATAAAAAAAAAATCTGTAATTTAATATCAAACTCAAAATGTTTCAGGACTGAGCTGAAATATTCCCAGATCAAACTAAATACATCAAAAAATTTCCAACAAAATAATATTTACACCTGCACCACAAATATTATGCATTAGATATACATGTAGTTATATATTTAAAAAAAAAATTGGGCATAAAGAAATCAAAAATTGGATTTAACCTCAATTAAAAACAATAGGTGTGTGAAAAAATCTGCATTTAAACTATTTTGTGAATTAACAATGTTCCATAACCATATATAGAATTTAAATTGTTTGAAAAAAAAAATGCCATTTTTTTATCAAAACAAAAAAAATTCATGTTATATTTTTAGCCTCTTTAAAAATATGATTTACAAAAGAATAAAACTATACAGGGGTAAACTATTTATGATCAGTTGTTTCATAGGTATTTGGAATGTACAAGACAATAATACAATTATGCATCACATAATATCACAGTTTTACCCATGGAACCCATGCACCATCATGATATTTGGGGTTCCCAGCTGGATCTACAGGGCCATTAAGGGGCGGGACCATGGTATTTTGGTATTGCATCAACCTGGCCAGCATTTGAATGACTAGATCCTTATTTTGATAAGCTATGTTGTTATATTCACATGGATCAGAGGGGATGTGAAACAAACATGGCGACTTCCTTGGATCACAGCTTGTAGATGCATTAAATGGTTTTGGACCACAGTTTACCCTGACAGGTGCACCTTTATGATAGTATGACTCTGTCATGGAATTCAAAATTTCACCTTTACTTTCAATTTCAGAACTCTTTTCCAAATAATATAAGTTTGTGTTAACAGATTTTGTATCATCGTTGTTACGGATATGACCGTATTTCTCAGTATTGTTCACATGAAGCGATTCAGTATCAGCCGGGTTCTGCCATGGTGGGTACCAGTCATCCCAAGCCATCCCAACATCGCCGACCAGAATTTTATAATCTCCTACTCGAAGTCCTGAATGACCTTGACCTTTTGGATCGATATTGTGAAGAATTTCTTTACGTTTTCCTTTCCTGTTACGAGATAAAGCCTCCCAGTGATCGTAACCATCAAGATTTTTCATCACCCTGGGGCTGCCTCCCGCAGCAGAGTATAAAGTAGGGAGCCAGTCACACACATGGAGCATGTTGTTATAGACATAACCCTGTTTCTGGAGTAACGGGCTGTGAATGAAGCCAACACCCCTAACACCACCTTCCCATAGTGTTGCTTTTACTCCTCTATAATATGAAAATAAATTAGAAATTAACTTTCTCATATACCCATAGCTCTATTTTTTCTACTGTACATAAACAATCATACTAAACAATCTGTCAATAATTGCTTCGCTGTATATATACTGTAGAACTGGTTTCATTTGTGTTAAATTAATTTTTGCGAGTTAATTTCTTTGTGACATCATAGCTATCGTGAACTATATATAAACATGAAAATGCAAATAACTTTATTTTATTCAGAAAAACTTTGGATTCTCAATATCATGAGGATGCAAATTCATGTATAAGGGAATAGAGAAAATACACTTTTTGGAAAAAAACATACTTCATGTGAATTTTAAGCATTTTACAGTATTTTTTCTTACGTTGTGTCATTCAGATGGTTGGAAATTTAACTTCTTTAATGGACTTAGGTACAATACATTCTGAAGATTAACTACAGTGTATGCACTTTCCTGCACACCTGCTGAATGTTTTATTGTTAATTTCCTTATGCCATGAATTTACATAGTTGTTAAGGCAGCACACTAGGTATGGAAATAATGGGTATGTATACTTTATGAACTTGGCAATTTTTCGATACACATAAATTGCTTAGTTCATAAAATATACCTACTGATATATTACTGCTCAACATGCAGACCTGAATCTGTATATGGAAGAAATGTTGTTCTTTAAATCCACATATAAGGCATGGTTATTTCCCAGAAAAAATACAGCATGAAGTACATACAGAATGTATGTAATGAGCCGCGTCACGACATAACCAACATAATGGGTTTGCGACCAGCATGGATCCAGACCAGCCTGCGTATTCGCGCAGTCTGATCAGGATCCATGCTGTTTGCTTACAAACCCCTTTAACAAGTAGAAAAACTGATAGCGAACAGCATGGATCCTGATCAGACTGCGCAGATGCGCAGGCTGGTCTGGATCCATGTTGGTCGCAAACGCACTATGTTGGTTTTGTCATGACACGACTCTAATGGTTTTATCAACAGAATTACCTTAAAGGAAAATTGTTTGCAGCATTGGCATCAAAACCGTTGGCTGGACCGCCATTGTCCGTTGTAAACATTATAATGGTGTTGTTCATCATACCTCGGGACTCTAATGTCTTCACTACGGCCCCTACAGAGTCGTCTAATGCTGCAACCATTCCTGTATCAAATACAATAAAACCTGATTAGACAGACCTGTCTATTAAAATAGAAAACAACAGACAGAAAATTGCCATAAAAAAACAAGGTTAACTTGTTAACTGAAATTACAATCATTATTAAATCACAAAATCTACTATTAATTGCCTAAAAATATTAATGTTAAATAACTTATGTGACAAAAAACCACTAGGAATCATAATTCTGCATAGCACATCCAACATTCAATCTCTCATAAACAGAGTCTCCTTTTATGGTTAAAAGAGCTCCAATCAGAAAACATACAGAAAATCAATTCTGTAACATTAAAGTTACATGGTATATTTAAATTGTTAAACTCAACAATTTTATCATTTTTGAGTAACATTTTTAGTAAAGGTTCACCTGTTATTTTGTTCAAAAACATGACAAAAATACATGGGACATGAGAAACTTGAGGAAACACATTTCTTCTTAATTACTTCTATCTGAACCATTTGGCTGAAATATAGTTAATAAGCAATTCTATTTAAAGAATTCATAAAAATCTAATTGATATCTTCAAAGCTTACCTGCGAATAATCTTCTGTGATAGTTTTTGATATGGAGAAATCTGTCTACATAATGTTGGGGTGCCTGTAATGGATCGCCTCCTGTATTCCCACTATGTACAGCTTGATGTGGTAGATATAAAAACAGTGGCTGGGGAAAAAAGAAAACGTTATAATGTTAACTCAACCCTGTTTTAAGCAAGATAGGAAATTGAATAGATGATTCATAAATAAGCATATACATAATGTAAAAAGAACCAATTCATTATTTCCAAAATAAGATGCAACACGCATGACCTATAAAAAGGAAAATCCTCAAAACCTGTGAATTGCCAGCATCTCTTTTATTTATCAACTAAAATTCTTGGACAAAACAATAAAAGAGAAATAATCATCACAGACATTTAAATACATGTACTATAAGGGATATTTTTTACACCAAACTTGACAAAAACATTAAGAATTTATTCATTAACTATAACCTCCAAGTTCATATTTCTATGGTGATTTTAAAAAAAAAAAAATAAACTTTAAGATCACTTCAAAATATTATGACAATATTTTTTTATCAAGTTTGTGTCTTTTGCACTTATTTTTCAATTCAGGAGGCATCTTGATGCATTTTGATAATAATGAAAATAAGCAGGTGAGATGTCAGGTGTGGTGCATTTTATATTCCCTGATCATTGCATTTCAGCAGAACAAATGATACAACATCATATACATTACATTTTATTAAAGAACTCAAAATGCATCACTACTTTTAAATGACCGGAAGTAAAAAAGCTTTCCTCACCTCTTTGGTATCATGCTTCTTTATAATATTCACAGCCTCTGCTGTAAACAGATCAGTGGAATACATTTCTGTCTCGTTCCGTATCAGGTCTAAATTCCTTCTCCAATCCAGGCCCCAATATTCCTGTATTAATATGACAGTGGCTTTAACTACTTTAGTATGAAATACATACATTTTAAAATACTGTCATTCTTAATTATGGTTCTGAGATTACAAATTTTAAATATTACATTCAAGATTAATGACTCAGTAATGTGAAATTCAGAATTGGGAATTGTAAAACATTGTGGTTAAATATGTATATATTGTGTTAGAGGGTATGTTGGTAGAACCACCAACTTTCAGCTTCAAAAGATCTAGCCCATTTTGAGAAATCAAACTTTTAGAACCTTTGAGACGTCATATTGTCATATAAAACTTTGTAACAGGAGCAACGCTAAGATTGAGGTAATATACATGTACAACTGAATGAAAATTTGTTTGAATAATAAAAAATAATCTTTCAGTTAGATAAAAGAACCATTTACAAGACTTGACTGAAATTATTTTATCTTAATTATCCTTATTATGCTAAATGAGCCCCAGGATGGGAGCATTTTTTACCCTAGGTGCAAAATTCACAAAATGTTTATAGAGGTTTGGAAGGCAAGGGTTCATTCAAAATTGATGTTTCATATACAATTGTAATAAGACTTTAAATGTGTTTTCCTATCTAAAGTCTAAATGGTCAAGTGATCTCAGGGACTGACCAAATTTGAAATGCCAGTACTGACAGGATGAACTGAGCACAGAAAGGGAATGAACTAAAACTGTGAGTAGAACATACTGGGTTGGCCTCATAGGTGTGATCATAGTAGTCCTCACAACCCTGATAATACCCGTAATGAGATTCAAACCCTCGTAATGTTGGCAAATACTCCTCTGCAAACATCCCAAGGTGCCACTGTTCAATTACAAAAATATAACATAAAAGATTATGTCTGAATAAAGATAAATAAAAATAACTGTTTCCACCACCTGAATAATAAGTGTAAAATTAAACTTCTTTCTCTCTCCCACACACAAAATGACGACTATGCCATACTGAAAAATAACTTAAACTTTTGTTGAAACATTCTCATCAGGAAATATATAAGAGAGGTTATAACCAAAATTCAAATAAGTTAGAAATCTACACATGTTTGAAATAATAAATCAAATTCTATAATTATTCCAATTACAATTTTTTAATTAACATGTTCAATATTTAATACAAATACTTTTACCAGTACCATATAAGTATGTTTTCATGTTTTCTGACAAATCAGTTATGAAAATTGTCACTATAAAGTTACCTTCTTTAACATTATGAAAACCAGCAGTCATAGCGACCACCTGAGCAGAACCACCCATCCTTGGTTCTAAGCTTTCTCAAATGATAAAAGCTAAATTCAATTACGGGATTCGAACCCACAGCCATGAGGGGCAATTTAAGTAATTTGAAGTCGGTCCTGATGTCTAAACAGACTCTGCACTGATGGCTGTAATATTTAAGTATATTAATATCAAAATCTTTGAGTTAGCTATTTCAAAGCAGGTCAAGTCCACTATACAGATTTAGACAGAGAAGCATCTTCATACATATTAAAAATATTAAGACATTGTTTCCATTATTTTTTTGAAATAAGGTATGTAAATACTTTATTTTAGCTAAATAATATATAAATATTCATATTATGACAAAAAATAACTTATATTTACAAATCTAATCATTCCAAATAAACATGATATTAACTATTTTCGCATAACATAAAACTTGCACACTCACACTATATACATGTACTTGGCATTTCATTTGAAAAAAAAGGTATAAAATCACAAGCTCAGGGTTGTCTTAAGGAGGTGGCTGTAGGCAAAATGACTTTCTTAAATATGTCTAAAATGTATTTTAAGCCACCTCAAAACTTAGAAAACAGTCTTTATTGTATGATAATCGCCTCAAATTCAAAACAGACCATCTGAGAAAAATTTCAATTAACAACTCTAAATTAACATATTTTCAGTATTTTGTAAATAGATGTTAAAATATATTAATCATATTTCAGAATTTAAAGTTATTCACTTAACAATCTAGTTCAACTAGAAACTGAAAATACTGACTTCTATGAAGGTTTAACTCACAATATACTCTTTCTAACATCAAGATTTTTTTCTTTAATTCTATTCAAACTGTGATAAAATACCTTAGATAAGGCATGCATACACAAATACGTAAGTACATATAAATTAAGTAGTACAAATACTCAAATTATTTGCTTCTGTAAAACAAAATACACAACACAACCCACTTCAAAATACAGAATGTTAGAAAACAGAAATATTAAAACAGATACTTAACAGTGGCACCTGGGGATATACAAATGACTTTACAAAATTCACATAAGAAGACAAGAGGGCAATGATTGGCCTGGGAGCTCACCTAAGTGAATACATTGTAATATTATATATTATCAGGTTTAGAGGGGATCTACCCATGGTGACTCTTTTTCTTCTCTGGTGACAACTTTAAAGGCATAAAAAATTTGGCCATTTTATTGGCATTGATTTGTGAGATTTACAATATTGCCACTCATTTGTGAGATTTATTGGCTTTGATTTGTGAGATTTATTGGCATTGATTTGTGAGATTTATTGGCATTGATTTGTGAGATTTATTGCCATTGATGGTTAGGAAACTACCCGCCTATATGACTGAAATACTGTTGGAAAAAGGCGTAAAATGAAACAAACAAACAAACAAAGCCATTGATTTGTGAGATTTATTGGCATTGATTTGTGAGATTTATTGGCTTGATTTGTGAGCTTTATTGGCAATGATTTGTGAGCTTTATGGCATCAATTTGTGAGCTTTATGGCATCAATTTGTGAGCTTTATTGGCATTGATTTGTAACATTTATTGCCATTGATTTGTGAGATTTACATTGATATGTGAGATTTATTGGCACTGATATTTGAGATTTATTGGCACTGATATTTGAGATTTATTGGCAGTGATATGTGAGATTTATTGGCATTGATTTGTGAGATTTATTGGCATTGATTTGTGAGCTTTATTGGCACTGATATTTGAGATTTATTGGCATTGATTTGTGAGATTTATTGCCATTGATTTGTGAGCTTTATTGCCATTGATTTGTGAGCTTTATTGCCATTGATTTGTGTGATTTATTGCCATTGATTTGTGTGATTTATTGCCATTGATTTGTGAGCTTTATTGCCATTGATTTGTGTGATTTATTGCCATTGATTTGTGTGATTTACTGCCATTGATTTGTGTGATTTATTGCCATTGATTTGTGAGCTTTATTGCCATTGATTTGTGTGCTATATTGGCATTGATTTGTGAGGTTTATTGGCATTGATTTGTGAGCTATATTGGCATTGATTTGTGAGCTATATTGGCATTGATTTGTGAGCTATATTGGCATTGATTTGTGAGATTTATTGCCATTGATTTGTGAGGTTTATTGGCACTGATATTTGAGATTTATTGGCAGTGATATGTGAGCTTTATTGGCATTGATTTGTGAGCTTTATTGGCAGTGATTTGAGAGCTTTATTGCCATTGATATGTGAGCTTTATTGGCATTGATATGTGAGCTTTATTGGCATTGATATGTGAGCTTTATTGGCACTAATTTGTAAGCTTTATTGGCATTGATATGCAAGCTTTATTGGCATTTATTTTTCAAGCTTTATTGCTATTGTTGTGTATGATTTATTGCCATTGATATGTGGGCTTTATTGGCATTGATATGTGAGGTTTATTGACATCGATTAGTGAGCTTTATTGGCAATGATTTGTGAGCTTTATTGACATCGATTAGTGAGCTTTATTGGCATTGATTTGTGAGCTTTATTGGCATTGATTTGTGAGGTTTATTGCCATTGATTTGTGAGGTTTGTTGACATTGATTTGTGAGCTTTACTGCCATTGATTTGTGAGCTTCCTTTAACAGAAGGACCACCTTAGCATGTGATGAAAATAATTTCATGTAAATCTGACCAAATGCTTCTAGAGGGCTCAATCATTTTGCCACATTTTGCAATTTTCAATTCAGGTTATCAATCCTATATTAACAGTTGTTATCTGGAACTTGGCAAATGTTGGTTTTCCAAAGCTAATCGTCCAGTACAAAAAAACTTTTACCATTATATGGCATTATAGCTTCATGGTGCAATACTGTTCATAATAATTAAGTTAACCCGTTGCACTTATTTTCTGAGTTGTAACTGTCAAAGTTTGTCTATACCCCATCCCACAAGTTAGCTGGGGAAAACCCAAAATATTCTTAAATTCCAGTGTACATCTTTTCATTACCCTACAATGTGGTTAAGCTAAAAAAAAATCCCAACAAAACTAGTCTTTTATCCAAGACAGCAATAAGAGTACAGTATGCTTTGAAAGAAAATCCTTTAACACTTTTTTAAAGTTGTTTAAATCTATACTAAACACAGCGCTACGACTCAAGATAAAGTGTTTTCAAGGGCTGGTTTTTTGAGGATTAAGCTACAAAGACATGGGTTCAATGTCACCGTCACTTCAATATTTTGTTTCTATAACATTATAATGCAATAACTAAGAGCTGTTTAAGCAGATTTCAAGATTAATTTAAATATAATCCCCATGTAGATACTTTATAAAATTTATCAAACTTTACTTGAAAATTGAACTCAACTATGTATCTCTCTAATGTACTCAAGTAAACAACTCACTTATAGATTTCAAATTCTTAAAGTGATATTATGTTCATCCATGTGTAAATATGGGCAGTGAACAGGTAAAAATAAAAATAGCATCACATTTTGCCAAAATTGCGTTTGCTCGATTTTATATTTAATTATGGAAAATTCATTTAATAATCCATGTGGCCAACAGGATTTTTTCAATAAATATCGGTAACACTCAAATCTTAAAGAGTGGGGCAGTCTTTTTATAATTTAGGTGCTTTTTATATTGCGTTATCAATTATTAGTCACCATTTTAATAGTCAATAATAGTCAATCTTTTGAAACATATTATTAATTCAACACAACTTGACAGCGTTATAATGTCAGCATGTCACTTTAGTTGAAATCTGAAATTTTTCTTAAAAATAAATCAATTTAAAAGAAGCATTCATAAAAAGATAAACAAGAGGGCCATGATGGCCCTAGATCGCTCACCTGAATTATCAAACTCATCCAAACAATTACCTAGACAAGCATTCTGACCAAGTCTCATGACAGGTGAGTCAAAAATGTGACCACTACAGTGTTAACAAGGATTATCCATATTTGAGCAGTGCGACCTAGTTTTTTACCCAGGTGACACATATTCAAACTTGACCTAGAAATCATTCAAAAACAAACTTTCAGACCAATTTCCAGGATACTTGGATCAAAACAGTAGCAACTAGAGTGTTAACAAGATTTTTCTATTTTTAGCTCCGGTGACCTAGTTTCACATGCGATTTCGAACTCATCCAAGCAATTACCTAGACAAGCATTCTGACCAAGTTTGATGATAATGGAGTCGAAAATGTGACCACTAGAATGTTAACAAGGTTTTTCCATATTTGGGCGGTGTGACCTAGTTTTTCATCCAAGATGACCCATGTTCGATCTTGACTTAGAAATCATCAAAACAAACTTTCAGACCAATTAACAGAATATTTGGATCACAACAGTAGCCACTAGAGTGTTAACAAGATTTTTCTATTTTTAGCTCCTGTGACCTAGTTTTTCATCCGAGATGTCCCATGTTCGATTTATTCCCAGCAATGACCTAGACAAGTTTCCTGACCAAGTTTGATGACAATTGAGTCAAAATTGTGACCACTAGAGTGTTAACAAGGTTTTTCTATTTTTAGCTCCTGTGACCTAGTTTTTCATCCGAGATGACCCATGTTCGAACTCATCCGAGTTATTACCTAGACAAGCATCTTGATCAAGTTTGATGATGATTGATGCAAAAATGTGACCGCTAAAGTGTTAACAAGGTTTTTCTATTTTTAGCTCGGTGACCTACTTTTTCATCCGAGATGACCCATGTTCGAACTCATCCAAGCTATCAACTAGATAAGCATCCTGACCAAGTTTGATGATGATTGATGCAAAAATGTGACCGCTAGAGTGTTAACAAGGTTTTTCTATTTATAGCTCCGGTGACCTAGTTTTTCATCCGAGATGACCCATATTCGAACTCATCCGAGCTATTATCTAAACAAGCATCCTGACAAAGTTTGATGATGATTGGGTCAAAAATGTGACCACTAGAGTGGTCACAAGGTTTTTCTATTTTTAGCTCCTGTGACCTAGTTTTTCATCAGAGATGACCCATGTTCGAACTCATCCAAGCAATTGACTAGACAAGCATTCTGACCAAGTTTGATGATGATTGGTTTCAAAAATGTGACCACTAGAGTGTTCACAAGGTTTTTCTATTTATAGCTCCTGTGACCTACTTTTTCATCCGAGATGACCCATGTTCGAACTCATCCGAGCTATCACCTAGACAAACATCCTGACCAAGTTTGATGAAGATTGGGTCAAAAATGTGACCTCTAGAGTGTTCACAAGGTTTTTCTATTTTTAGCTCTTGTGACCTAGTTTTTCATCTGAGATGACCCATGTTCGAACTCATCCGAGCTTTCAACTAGATAAGCATCCTGACCAAGTTTGATGATGATTGAGGCAAAAATGCGACCGCTAGAGTGTTCACAAGCAATTGTGGACGGCCAGACGGACGACGGACGACGGACGACGGACATTCATCGATCCTAAAAGCTCACCCTGAGCAAGCTCAGGTGAGCTAAAAAATTTCATTCTTAATATTAAAAATTATTATAGTCTGAATATAAACCGTTTCTTAAAGTATGGTAAAGGGAGCTGAAAACTTTTCGTTTGTTAGGCTGGGTTTTAAGTCGCACAAATACATTATAGGTTTAGATGGAAATTTTAAAGCTCTCCCCTGGTGGAGACGGGAAAGGAAAAGACCTAAAGATCCCATTTTTATGCATTATTTCGGGGAAACCAAGCGGGGCCCCGGGGTAAAACCCAAACCAATTGTTCTTTTGGGTTTACGTTGAAAATAGATGTTTTAATCCCCACAAAAAAAAGATCAAAAAAATGCTGGTGTTGCTCGAACCTACAAGAGGCTCTAAACAGGTGAGAGGCAAGACTTAGTGGTTTTAGGTCAACAACCCTAACCATTCGACCACGTAAACCCACGAAATTTTTCCAATCCATACATTAATTTCTTTATCTTTAAGAAAGAATGAAAAGTAAAAAGCATACAAAACTTATGCTGGATAATGGGATAATCTTTCTGTAAGCTGTTGGGCTTCAGTTTGGTTTGCATTTGGATTATTATACAATTCTTATATTTATCAAGTATTAAAGCAATAAAAAATAGGTCTTACATTTTGTATCTAAAAAGTCCTATTTTACTGCCTTAGTGTGGGACTTTAAACTCGTTTCAAGATATCCATGCAATGGAATTAAAGAAGATAAGACAAAAAATAGTCCCGGTAAAAAAGTAGTTCTCTTACTCTTGAACACGCTGTCATGTGATCAAAATAGTCACCATGACCAAGTAAATAGCCATAATGGCTTTCAAACCCACGATATGTTGGCGTGAAGTCCCATGCATAGAACCCCAAGTGCCACTGAAAAAAGATGAAAATATTCAGAAAACAGTAAATTAGTTTATGCTAAAGTAAGTACTAAAACACAGTTAGCTTTGATTATTATGAAAGAAAACTGAATTGTTGTTATCTTCTTTTAACTTGAAAGAACAAATTAAATGATGATGCCTTAGAAAGTGCAAAAATTATTTCAAATTTCCGTAACTAGCTGGAGTGTCCCTGTTGGGATTGGAATTCACAGCAATTAGGGGCAAGTGGATTGAAGTCAAAGACCTTAACCACTTGGTCATCGACGCCCATGTAAAGTTTCAGAAGAATATTTCTATTAATTGTGGAAAAAAATTCAAAACCTCACAGATAAGTTATCTAAGTTCATCACAGGAATATTTCCATAAATACCCATGCCTGTAGTTAGAGAACTCCAATTATGATCATATTGACCCCTTAATATCATCTCCAAACTGACATAATGTCTGTATTGAATACCCTTGGTGCTGAATAATATCTGCAGTTGCACACATAAGTTTTACACTAAAATCAGGACAGTGGGTTATTCACACCAATCTTTGCATTGTCCAGCTAAAAACGTTATCATTTCCAAAAAAAATACTTCATTATGTTTTACAGCATTTTTTTAAGCTGAAAGAGTATCCCAATCTTAGTAATACTTGATACTAGACTCAAAATCTAAAATCTACCAGTTCATGTCCAAAACTTTAACCTAGATCAATGTATTTCTACAATACCTTTCCAACCATGTGAGTACGATAGCCTAAGTCCTTAAACCACTGTGGCATTATCTTTTCTTCCAAGGGTAAACCATACTTCTCTGATGCATATATTACACTGTGCTGCAGTCCTGAACAAGGTTAAAATATTTTAAGAATTGTGTTTTATTTAGTCTTAACCCAGCAGGCACACATCGAGGCTTGAGCATTGAAACAACATAGAAATTATGTTGTGACTTTGTCAACTAATATCTTGACAACGGTTGACCTCGCAAAACAAGTGCTCATGCACTTGGATATTGATATTAAGCCCGGTTAAAAATATCAGTCTACTTTTGGCAATAAACTCTATTCTTGTGACCAGTACAGACCAAGATAAGCCAGATCATGGTCTGCACTGTCCTGTTTTCAGTTGGTACATATTTTTGAAATTTTCCCTTAAAGATGATGAATGGTTTTGTCCATATTGAAAGAGAACAAGTCCACTTTAGTTATTAAGTGGGGGTAAGATCTTAGCAAATGCAAATGGATTGGGGAAAAGGGTTAGGGCCAAAGGGGAATTTGACCCCTAGGATTTTCGGGGGGCAAAACTATGGCAATAAAAATTAAAACCCAATGAGCTACAAAAAAAAGGATGTATTTTTTTTTAATTCTATGTATTTTTGTGTCAAGATGAAGTTTTATTCCACATAAATACAAAAAGGCCATGATGGTCTTTGAAATAGTTATGCTTATGAAACGAAGGATTTCTATATTGATTATATAATGACTTTTAATGTATACAAAACTGTTTGACTTTATAGCTATGACTTTCTCTATATTCAATTTTTCTTTACACTAAATTAAGATGCCTTAACCTTTAAACCATGATTCATAAAAGGAACATTCAAGTACCACTTAAAAAAATTGTATCACAAGTCAAAGTGTCAAAAGAATAAACACTAGTCATGAGGTTTAACCACTTACTATCAAATAATAGGGAAACAGAAAACCGTGACGTTCAGAAAAAAATAGGATTTTTATAAAGAAAAAAACATTGGGGCAAAAGAACACAATTCAAAATTAATTTTGGTCAAATGTGATGTTTAGATTACTGCCATATCAACAGAAGTGTGGTACCCATGGGGATGACTTTATCACCATGGTAATTACCATAGTCTATGTAATGATACCATAAAATCAGACACTGTGCTTGTACTATGTGATCCAATTATACATGTACATGTATATAGGTTTTTAGGAACAGGAAGTGGGTTAAACAACAAACATGCTATTTTCCTACAGACTGTGTACCTTTCCCACCATATGAGTCCTATATCCCAGCTGTTGGAACCACTGGGGCATTATCTTTTCTTCAAGAGGAAGACCATATTTGGCAGCGCCCACTATAACCCCTTGTTGTAAACCTATAAGTCAACAGTCTTCTATTAACCCATTATATTAAAAGCTGAAAATTATCTTCTATAAAAGGTTGGTGGCCAACATATTAATGTACCAATTTCAATATTTGATCATGTAAAATGTTAAGAAACTGAAGTTTATTCTTCATAATGTATGCTTTAAATTATCGGTAATCTTCTTAGTAACCCCTTTCAAAAATTTTTGGGAAAAAACCAAAAGAAAGTAAAAAGTTTGCTTTCCCGTTAAAAGCAGGGGGGACCCTAAACCGTTCAAAAGAATCTCAAAGGAAATTTTTTTTTAAAGGGTTAAAAATGTATGGTTTTAAAATGAAAAAGTGCCCCAATTTTTAAAATTTTGGTGACATTCCAGCCATTCTGGTAAAGAATGATCCAAATTTTTAATTTTTAAAGTCCTAAGCCCAAACTATTTTAAAGGCCCGCAACATGGCACTCAAAGTATATTCCATCAAATCTTCCTGTGCTAAACCTGGGATAGACCTGTCCCATGGAACCCAATTTTGTATAATCTAAATATATCTAATACATGATTACCAGATGGGAAATTAAAAATTCCCTTTCTTTGGCTATCAAAATTATTGACTACCAGTGGATCTATTTCTTTCTTCTTTTTTGTTTGTTTTTCTTTTTTTCTCTGTCTCAACAACATCGTAAAGGTCATAACTATGACAACTTTAAAAGTTTAACTGCTAGAGGAAGAAGCTATGTTTATCACCATGCATTTCTTCAGGCACAGGATAACAACCAAGTATAACCTTACATCTTCTGATGCAGGCGAATTATGTTCCTTGCACAGAAAAACTCTGGTATCCATAGAGACAGTGGATGAGGTGAATTTTCAGAAAGTGATTTGAAATCAGCCCTGTTTTGTACATAAACAATCAAAATATAACTTACCAGTGTGAATAGGGTGCCTTCCAGACATAAGTGCTCCTCGTGTTGGGGTGCAGATTGGAGAAACATAATAATTGTTTAGAATAATTCCCCCGTATGCAAGGGCGTCAATGTTTGGTGTAGGAATCTGATCTGATCCATGGAAACTTACATCATTCCAGCCCTAGAAAGAGTATAACAGAAAGCATTAACCCTTTACGTGTTGAATTTTTTAAATGAACTTGAATCTAATTTTATTTTAACAGACCATTATTAAATATGAGGATAACAAAATGAGAATTCTCAGTCAATAGTGCAGAGCCTCTTTCCATTTACCATAAAATCTCAACAGTGCCTTAGGTAAGTATATTTTGACAGGTATAAAATGCCATGATGCCTCAATGATTTCTAAAATCTGTTTTTTTTATAAATTAATAAAATATTTCCTAATCAACAGACAGAATTTAAGACTACAGTTCCCGAAATAGTCCTAATGGTGCCAGTTATATGTGATACTGCAAGTGATGAATATGGTCAAATACAATTATATCAGTTTTAAATGGAAGAAATAAATCAAGGTTAATAAGAAGGAATTACAGTCACCCCAGCTGCAAATCAATTTGACCCCAAAATTTGTCAATCCAGCAGTGAGCACAAGATTATTTCAGGTTCTGTAAATATTGCCTCCAAATTGGTCAATCTGGCCCCAAATTAGATTTTTCTCTATATCTATTATTCATTTTATAGCTTGCAATAAAATGAAACTTTTTTTTGAAAATTCTGAACCATAGTTTAAAGATATAAATTGCCTTTTATCAGTAAATTTAATTGACAAATTAAGGCAGCTATTCTTTAAGACCCATTAGTGATAATGAATGTTTAAATATACATTAATTATTATTTATATGTGACTATTTGCATTTATTCAAATGTGACAAAAAGTTTCACTGTAAGAGCAATCAAATAACAAAGAAATATTTACGGTGAAAAAAACTTTTGATTTAGTTGTTTGGTCTCTTTCATGCTTTTTTTAATGTAAATAAGTTTGTTAAGTGTGTATAAATTCGAAAATATATTTTCCACAATGCATTTATATAAGTAATGATATAAGATGATATCAAGAAATGCAATGTGTTTGAGAAGACATATTAAGACATTCTAGTTAGAACAAGTTGTGATTGTTTGTATTTACAGAAATTACTATTTAATGTTACAATGTACATTAACAAATACATATTTGTTTGTTTTTAAAGAAAAATAAAGGTGATGATTGTCAAAGCCATTATCTTGTACTTTTTTTTTCATTCATTTTATTTTTATCTTGAAGTATTCACATTTTTCTTGATAAGAAAAAGTTAAGAAAAAGCAGTGCTAAATAAATAATATTACAAGGGTGATCATGTATCACCTCATGAAAGCTAACTGCATGTTGCAGCCTCTGTGTAGCAGGAAACACAAAAATCATTAACAGGGCAAAGCACATTTTTATTTTTAAGGACAACTAGAACTATCACTAAATGTGATTAATACCCCCACAAGACTGCTTCGGAAATGAGGATGTTACTAGTAACAGAATACCTTGTAAAAGAATTGAAATATAGAGTTAGGGTTGTGGGCAATTAAAAATAGTTGTGGTTCTTGTATATTGCATTTCCTTTCAATGTAGTTGACCATTGAAGAAGTTTTATTGAATTACTCTGTAATAAGTCCAGAAATACAAAGAAAAGGAACAAAGGGCAATAACTCTATAAATACTGAAGATGGAGTTATAGTTCTTGTGCACTGCACTTCCTCCCTCTTTTTGTGCTTGACCATTGTATGAAGTTGTTTTGAATTTCAACCAGTATGTTTTAAGTTATGCTCCAGACAAGGAAAAGTATCAAAGGGCAGTAACTCTGTATTTTGTCAAAATGGAGTTATGGCTCTTATGCACTGCACTTCCTTTTAATGTCCTTGACAACTGTATGAAGTTGTATTGAATTCCAAACAGTAGTTTTCAAGTTATGCTCTGGACAAGGAAAAGTAACAAAGGGCAATAACTCTGTAAATACTGAATATGGAGTTATGGTTCTTGTGCACTGCACTCCCTCTCAATGTGCTTGACCATTGTATGAAGTTATATTGAATTCCAACCGTTAGTCTTCAAGTTATGCTCCGGACAAAAAAAGCAATGGAAAAGTAACGAAGGGCAATAACTCTGTAAATAGTCAAGATGGAGTTATGGTTCTTGTGCACTGCACTTCCCCTTATTGTGCTTGACCATTGTATGAAGTTGTTTTGAATTCCAACCAGTAGTTTTCATGTCATGCTCTGGACAAGGAAAAGTAACAAAGGGCAGTAACTCTGTATTTTGTCAAAATGGAGTTATGGCTCTTATGCACTGCACTTCCTTTTAATGTCCTTGACAACTGTATGAAGTTGTATTGAATTCCAAACAGTAGTTTTCAAGTTATGCTCTGGACAAGGAAAAGTAACAAAGGGCAATAACTCTGTAAATACTGAATATGGAGTTATGGTTCTTGTGCACTGCACTCCCTCTCAATGTGCTTGACCATTGTATGAAGTTATATTGAATTCCAAACGTTAGTCTTCAAGTTATGCTCCAGACAAAAAAAGCAATGGAAAAGTAACAAAGGGCAATAACTCTGTAAATAGTCAAGATGGAGTTATGGTTCTTGTGCACTGCACTTCCCCTTATTGTGCTTGACCATTGTATGAAGTTGTTTTGAATTCCAACCAGTAGTTTTCATGTCATGCTCTGGACAAGGAAAAGTAACAAAGGGCAGTAACTCTGTAATAAAGTCAAGATGGAGTTATGGTTCTTGAGCATTGCACTTCCTCTAAATGTGCTTGACCATTGTATGAAGTTATAATGAATTCCAACAATTAGTCTTCAAGTTATAGTCCGGACAAAAGAATGGAATGGAAAAGTAACAAAGGGCAATAACTCTATAATTACTTTAGATAGAGTTATGGTTCTTGTGCACTGCACTTTCTCTTATTGTGTTTGACAATTGTATGAAGTTGTTTTGAATTCCAACCAGTAGTTTTCAAGTTATGCCCTGGACAAGGAAAAGTAACAAAGGGCAATAACTCTGTAATTAGTCAAGATTGAGTTATGGTTCTTGTGCACTGCACTTTCTCTCAATGTGCTTGACCATTGTATGAAGTTATATTGAATTCCAACCATTAGTCTTCAAGTTATGGTCCGGACAAAAGAAAGCAATGGAAAAGTATCAAAGGGCAATAACTCTGTAATTACTTTAGATAGAGTTATGGTTCTTGTGCACTGCATTTCCCCTTGTTGTGTTTGACATTTGTATGAAGTTGTTTTGAATTCCAACCAGTAGTGTTCAAGTTATGCCCCGGACAAGGAAAAGTAACAAAGGGCAATAACTCTGTAATTAGTCAAGATAGAGTTATGGTTCTTGTGCACTGCACTTCCTCTCAATGTGCTTGACCATTGTATGTAGTTATATTGAATTCCAACCATTAGTCTTCAAGTTATGGTCCGGACAAAAGAAAAGCAATGGAAAAGTAACAAAGGGCAATAACTCTGTAATTACTTTAGATAGAGTTATGGTTCTTGTGCACTGCACTTCCCCTTATTGTGTTTGACAATTGTATGAAGTTGATTTGAATTCCAACCAGTAGTTTTCAAGTTAAGCCCCGGAGAAGGAAAAGTAACAAAGGTCAATAACTCTGTAATTAGTCAAGATAGAGTTATGGTTCTTGTGCACTGCACTTCCTCTCAATGTGCTTGACCATTGTATATAGTAATATTGAATTCCAACCATTAGTCTTCAAGTTATGGTCGGGACAAGGAAAATGCAACAGACGTAGTGTTCAAGTTATGCCCCGGACAAGGAAAAGTAACAAAGGGCAATAACTCTGTAATTAGTCAAGATAGAGTTATGGTTCTTGTGCACTGCACTTCCTCTCAATGTGCTTGACCAGTGTATGTAGTTATATTGAATTCCAACCATTAGTCTTCAAGTTATGGTCCGGACAAAAGAAAGCAATGGAAAAGTAACAAAGGGCAATAACTCTGTAATTACTTTAGATAGAGTTATGGTTCTTGTGCACTGCACTTCCCCTTATTGTGTTTGACATTTGTATGAAGTTGTTTTGAATTCCAACCAGTAGTTTTCAAGTTATGCCCCGGACAAGGAAAAGTAACAAAGGGCAATAACTCTGTAATTAGTCAAGATAAAGTTATGGTTCTTGTGCACTGCACTTCCTCTCAATGTGCTTGACCATTGTATGTAGTTATATTGAATTCCAACCATTAGTCTTCAAGTTATGGTCCGGACAAGGAAAATGCAACGGACGTCTGGACCGACCGACCGACCGACCGACCGACCGACCAACCGACCACTGGGTGACTCCTATATACCCCCCCAAACTTCGTTTTTGGGGGTATAATAACTGAGTTAAAAATCATTTGATTGGAAAACCTGTGTAACATGCCCAAGTACTTGAGTTACCGACCATACCTTTAAAGTTTCATTGAAATTGCATAAATTTGTGGTATAATAGGTCTATTAGGAGTAGTCTGGACAAATTTTTAAAATAAAAACCATAAAAGGGCCATAACTCTGACAAAAAACATTAAACCGGAAAATGCCAATGATCTGCACAACCAGACTGATCATTCCTGTAAAGTTTGGATGAAATTGCACCCATAGTTTTTGAGGAGTAGTACGGACATGTTTTCCGATCAATGGACGGTCTCAGTACAGGCGACACAAAATATAGGGTGGGATTGACCAGAGATCAGGTTGACTTGGGACACAGACTGGGTTGACCAGATATCAGACTGACTTGGGACCAGATTGACTAAATTTTGGCTGTGGTAACTTGCACCAAATACATTGTAAGAAGGATAATAATGTAAATACCAGATCATCAGCAACTATAACAACAATATTGGGTCTTTGAGCAGACAAGCAGCCTGTTATCAGCCCTATTGTTAATACATAAAATAGCGCTGCTCGTCCAACATGACTTGGAGTTGTAATCCACATGTCTGTTATGATGCTTCCATTTAACCTGCAAATAAACAAATTATTCAGTCAATTTTTCATTAGTTTTGGGATTTAGCTCAATACAGGATTGGAGCAGTACCTCTAGACGCTTGCAGAAATCATGATCACAAAATAGACAAATATCGTTTTTTTCGCCGAATTTTACATTTTTCCTTGATTATCGTACTTGATTCGGTGTGAATAGATGAATTAGACCTGTTAAAGTTCATTCCGTTGGGTAAAAAGACAAGATTTTAGCATTTTATCATTCAAGCGCCTTGTCCGGTATATACCGGAATACGGTATTTAGTGTGGTGCTCCAATCCTTTTTTTAGTCACAGCCTTAGTTTTGTGATCAGATACAGTAGATCTACATTGGCAACATGATTATAAAATGATATTAAAATAATTGTTTTATCGGATAGCCTAATGCACAAGAATTAATTGGAAAAAAAGGTATTTACGATTGAAAAATAAGGTAAATATGTAGTAAAAATTTACGCAATTCGATTGTTTAGTTGTTGTTGTTTCCACTACGATAAGATCCGAAAAGCTCCGCAAGTTTCTCGGTTTATATTCTGTTTAAACCCGTACTATACACAAAAGATCGGGTACACAAATTTTATATAACATTTATTAAATGTCAAAATTGGACTGAAGGAAGGCTACCTTATCATGTAGGCATTTTATCAAAATTCAAAATTGACCGTGGCAACCAATGTCTGTGGCACCGTAAAGCTGCTAGTGCTTTGTGACGGCCTTAGCAACAATTAACACTTCACTGACTGAAAATAAATTTCTTAATAAATTTAATTAAAACAATAAAATGCGTCTGTGGCTTTCCATACTTTAACAAAACAAAATTCAAAATTGGACCGATATAGGCAGAATTTATCTTTCGGAAATCATTTCATATTTTATAAATTACTAAATTGTCTGTGGCTTACCGGCAGTCGGATCGATATGCAAGTGATGGTAACATACATGTATGTGGCGGTTATCTCGATATATCTGAGACATCTGGAAGATCTACATGACGGGATGAAGAAGACCACTCTGAGGGGATGAGAAGTCCATGACCAAGCCCCGAAAATGTCGCACTCTCAAAGTAGGCATTATAAGGGGGGAGGTCAAAGAAGACATCTTCGAAGACCGAAGACGTGGAAGAGTTCTTCTAGACCCACCAGATGAGGGAAGCAGTCCATGGTCCATGGCGGAGCTGAAAAATGGAAGGAGTGAACTTGTCTGTCCGTTTTGTTTGTCTGTGGCACCGAACCAAGAAACACCGGTCCGAAGCACCATTGCTTGTCCGTGCGTCTATATGTCAGGAAAACCTTCCCGTCCGCTTCTTGATCCTTTATTTTAGGCAGCAACACATTCTTTTACTAAACAACATAATGCACACAACGGTCCCATTGGCCTCCCGTGTATTATTTCATTAATAAATCTAAAAACAATAGCATTTTCTTTGGGCTCATTCAGTGAATTACTGAATTCCAATCAAATACATATGTAGGTCACCATTTTAGAACCAAACATACTTTAAGGGCATGACTGGTGACATGTCCGGGGTCCGTACTCGACAGCGAAAGCTACTTTTTGTGCCCGAAAGGGCGGATGGACCCTCATTAAGCATTAACAACATACATACATACATACTTTTTCACTATTCTGGACTGAACGAAGGCTACCTTATCATGTAGGCATTTTATCAAAATTCAAAATTGACCGTGGCAACCAATGTCTGTGGCACCGTAAAGCTGCTAGTGCTTTGTGACGGCCTTAGCAACAATTAACACTTCACTGACTGAAAATAAATTTCTTAATAAATTTAATTAAAACAATAAATGCGTCTGTGGCTTTCCATACTTTAACAAAACAAAATTCAAAATTGGACCGATATAGGCAGAATTTATCTTTCGGAAATCATTTCATATTTTATAAATTACTAAATTGTCTGTGGCTTACCGGCAGTCGGATCGATATGCAAGTGATGGTAACATACATGTATGTGGCGGTTATCTCGATATATCTGAGACATCTGGAAGAACTACATGACGGGATGAAGAAGACCACTCTGAGGGGATGAGAAGTCCATGACCAAGCCCCGAAAATGTCGCACTCTCAAAGAAGGCATTAAGGGGGGAGGTCAAAGAAGACATTTTCGAAGACCGAAGACGTGGGAGAGTTCTTCTAGACCCACCAGATGAGGGAAGCAGTCCATGGTCCATGGCGGAGCTGAAAACTGGAAGGAGTGAACTTTTGTCTGTCTGTTTTGTTTGTCTGTGGCACCGAACCAAGAAACACCGGTCCGAAGCACCATTGCTTGTCCATGCGTCTATATGTCAGGAAAACCTTCCCGTCCGCTTCTTGGTCCTTTATTTTAGGCAGCAACACATTCTTTTACTAAACAACATAATGCACACAATGGTCCCATTGGCCTCCCGTGTATTATTTCATTAATATATCTAAAAACAATAGCATTTTCTTTGGGCTCATTCAGTGAATTACTGAATTCCAATCAAATAGGTCACCATTTTAGAACCAAACATACTTTAAGGGCATGACTGGTGACATGTCCGGGGTCCGTACTCGACAGCGAAAGCTGCTTTTTGTGCCCGAAAGGGCGGATGGACCCTCATTAAGCATTAATAACATACATACATACATACATACATACGTACATACGTACATACGTACATACGTACGTACGTACGTACTATACACACCTCCATCTACTCAGGACTACATCTCTGATAGTTAACAATATTTCGAGCAAAACTTTAAAATCCAACATTCTGTTTTAGGTGTTTTTCACATGGCTCGTTAAAGAACCATATTGTGTTTTTTTTCTGGGAAAAATGGTGACTAAAATAAATCGCTGATTGACCATACTAAATACCGTATTCTGGTACATAATGGACAAGGCGCTGAAATGATAAAATGCTAATATTACCTTTTTATGATTATGAATGAAAAAAATATATAAAAAAACTGACGAAAAAATGTATTTTTGGTATACCTGACCATCTGCAATATTATCCCTTGCTATTAGTTATCATCAGCAATAGTCAAGATATAATGAGTGATTATCAGCAATCTTCAAGATACTATTATTACTCATGATGCTAAGAGGTATCATGAGCAATATGAAATTGTGTAATGAATAACCATCGGCAATACTCAGGGTACTGAGTGATCATTTAAAAATACGCAGGGTGCAATAAATGAGTGATCATCAGCAATATGCAGGGTGTAATAAGTGATCATTGGCAATATGCAAGGTGTAATGAGTGATTATTGGCAATATCCAGGGTGTAATGAGTGATCATTGGCAATATGCAGGATGTAATGAGTGATCATTGGCAATATGCAGGGTGTAATGAGTGATCATTAGCAATATGCAGGGTGTAATGAGTGATGATTGGCAATATCCAGGGTGTAATGAGTGATCATTAGCAATATGCAGGGTGTAATGAGTGATCATTAGCAATATGCAGGGTGTAATGAGTGATTATTGGCAATATCCAGGGTGTAATGAGTGATCATAAGCAATATGCAGGGTGAAATGAGTGATCATTGGCAATATGCAGTATGTAATGAGTGATCTTTAACAATATGCAGTACATTATGTATGTAATTAGCAATCAACTAGAAGTTAAAGTTATAATGAGTGCATGATCATCAGCAATATTCAGGATACTGAGTGATCATTAGCAATATGCAGGGTGCAATGAGTGACCATAAAAGCAATTTTCACGGTGTAATGAGTAATCAACAGGATGCTATTATGATCATTTTTACTGAAGTGATTAATAATAAACTTTCAAAATTTACTATACAAATGACAATGATGACAATGACAATTTATTTATTGATATTGGCCACCGGCCCATTACAACAATATATATATTAAGATATCATTTCTTGACTGGTGCCAGTACAGATTGATATTAATCGTTATAAATGATATCATGTTCTTTGAAAAAGTTACAATTATTTTAACTTGGTATGGAGTATATTTAACCGAATGCAAAATCATTGAATTGATATCACAATAATTATAAAACATCTTTGATAATCTAGTATGGAATGGAAATATTATCATCTAGCTTATATCTTTACTAAAAAACTAATACCCTTTCAACTAACAATTAAAATATTTTAACTAGAATGCTTGCAGATAATAGCTCACGAGACAAAAGTCAATTTACAAAATTAATCGATAAATACAAAACTTTATACTTTCGTACCATTCACATTGAAATATATCATTTTAAATGGAAAATAACATGTACAATGGTTCATGATAATGTTTATATTAAAACACACAAAATATTGTTGAATAGTTTACCAAGGTGCGTGTCGATCTTAACGGAAAAAAAGAGTGTTGGATACCCATTTATTCATGATTGAAGATATACATATGCAAATTAATACTTTGATTATTCTGAACAGTTGAATATTTGTTACATATTACTTGAGGTATTAGGTGCATTAATTAATTCCCAAATACTTCAAGATATTTATATTCGGGTTCTGCTATTGCTTTACATTAACAAATTCGTGTGTTACATATATCTCTATCTATTACATTCTGATAGTATTCCGAAACTTTCAATCTAAGAAACATAAAAGATAATTTTTTAAATTATATTTATTTTTTAATTTTTCATATTCTCCCCACTATGAATTACTTGGGGTTAGACGTCTTGAGTATATATTGATCAAATATATACTTTCCATTGCACTGGCACTATAATGTAAAAAAGTTTGAATTTTATATAACTGTTTAAAAAGTTAAAAACTCACACAGTAATTGACCTAATTTTACTGTTACATCTGGTTTTATGCTTTACATCTGGAGCAGCGGAAATTCACTTATACTTTTTACCGATGCTCATTTTTGAGATCCACCCCCGTGAAATGGGCGGGACAGCTCTTTATCCCTTTCTCGTTAGAGAAGGGGAATCTTGTGATACGTGTATGTGGTCGCACTGTCACTTTCCTTTTGCATGTATGTGGTCGCATTGCCGAAAATCTCTAAAAAATGACTTTTTTCAAAACTTTATAAAAAAAATGTATAACTCGTTATAAGGAGTTTTAAAAGCCTAATTAGGACTTTGTTACTTCTGATAATGAGTTTAAGTACTTTAAATTAGGAGTTATAAAAGCCTAATTAGGACTTTCAGAATTATAAATAGGAGAAATATAGTAAACAAATTTTTAGAACATTGTTACTCCCTGTTGCAACAAATTATCACCCTCTATCGGCGGCGGAATTGAGACTTTTTATCAATAAAACGGCCTGTTTTTATTTGTTTGGATCGTCAGACAAAACAAATAATGGTAGCGAAATTTCAGACCCTGATGTGCTTATTTGCAAATACCGAATGTAGTCCAAACTCCTCGAAGCGGTTATTTCCCTTTATAAGTACACTAATGCCGAACAATTAAGGGGAAATCACTGCGTAAAGATTGTCAAATGACAGGCTCATTAATTTTCTCGCGGAAGAAAAAATAGTTCCCGATTGGTCGAAGATTTTTAATATTGTGTTATTCTTTACAGATAAACACGCTTATAT